AAAAAACTTTCAAGTAAAAGTTATTCATTTTTTTATGTACTACCAAACTCTGTGAAAAAAATCGGGTCATTCCATTTGACTTTCCAAAGTTACCCCCCGTTTCACCCTTAAGGAGGGGTAGGGGGTGGCTAGCGGTAGCACCAAATAATGTCCCCTTTGGTCACATTAACCTTTTATTTAAGACATTTTTCCGTGAAATGCGTATTTCTCGAGATATTGAGCTGTCTCAAGTTAAAAGAAACACCCTGTACATATAGATATATCTAAAACTTAAAAATATATTTATCTATTTTGGCGTTCATAATGACTTCATTATAACACCGCTTTAATGAGATACTTTATACCACCCAATTTTTATTTATATGTTGGCTATACTTTAAACAGCATAATATTTTGCACTTGGGTTATAATTTTTTTATGATTTTTCTAGTACTTACGAGACTTTTCTGGCAATAAATTTTGTTTAACACCAAAGAAAATCCTTTTTTTTTCTTTAATTAAAGGTTCATGTAAGTTTTATAATGACTTTTTTGAAGTACCTACCTTTAACTTGATACTGAAAATTGCCATATATGGGTCTTTTATTGAAAAATATACAAATATTACCCTGAAAAGGGCCATTGCAAGACCTTATCACGACAGCCTTTTATCAAAATTTATATTTTTACTAAACATGCCTGTAAAGGACCAGTACAAGGAAAGCCTAGTCTAAAAATGCCATTTTTAAGCCATAAATCTTTGTAACAGACCATTACATTAGAAGTTTGTTAAAAGCGTATTAAGATTTTATTATTATATTTTATTAAAAATACTTTATACAATAACGAATCAAGTAATAAGGCCTAATAAAACAACGTTTTATGTTGTTACGCCCCTGATCATTTTATTATTCCAAATATTTTATTATATAATCATTTTCTAAAAACAATTTCTGAGCAGTTTTATTATAAAAACATACCCTCCGGCATACTTGAAGCAAACAAAATCTCAGATTCTTAAAAGACCCTTTATATAACATTTTGTTTCCTTGCCTTTCATTAACCATTGCATAAGCTAGTAAGTATTATTAATTAAGTGGGTTGCATCTCTTTAAAAAATATCCATTTTTAATTAAGACAAAAAATACGTGTTTAGATAACATTTTATCTTATAAGAAACTAGTTTTTCCTCACAACATTTCCATGGCGAAAATAAAGCGTACATGAAAAGTGTGCAAGTCTTTATAACGCTATTTTGTGTTAATGTGACACTTTTTAAAATAATTAAGTTTTTTCACTCTATAGGCTCATTGACATCATGCTTTTTATTTGTCATTTGTCACGCTTATATTACACCTTTTTATAGCACATTGTACAGTTTTAGCGATCACTCAATAGCACATTTTAGATATATATCGCTTGTGTTGGGGTAAAACATTAATTTAAAAGATGAGGTAGATTACAACTTATGTATCGCTTCTCTGCCTATGGCTAAGATCAAGGCAATCCCCGTCGTGGAGTTGGCATGTTCCTTTTTGATAATAACAAATTGTTACTAACAAAAAGTGACACATCCAACAGTGCATTTATTTTTCTTAATAAAATACAGTATGTACCTTCATTATGTGTATTTTTTTAAAGTGTAAATTTAAAAGACTTTAGAGGTTACCAATAAGAATCTGTTTTTGTAGTAGGCACACAGAAGGTGGCAAGAAACAGTGTGCAAACAAAGTGAAAAATTGAAAGGAATTCCCTTTAGAACATTGTCCAGTGATTATTCACACTTTTAAAGTTTTGGTTTTGCACATTGTTTCATGTTCCATTTCCCACCCTCCGCACATCATTTTTTTAAAAGATTGCACATTGTTCTCAAATAATTTTGCACATTTTCGCCAGGGTTCCTTTCAAGTAATCCTCATTTGATACAATAGGTACCTTTTCCAAAGCTAAATCCCCAAAACATCCGAAAAAGGCACTTTTTGAAATTGCCTTCAATCCTTAGATTCCCTTTTTATGTCTTCTACAGGGTGAGTTTTAAGTTGTCGCGTTCCTTTTAACAGTGTGTAGAAATCAGCTAGACAAATAAATATTTTAAGTAACTTTTTTATCAAAACTCAAAAATAAAAAAGTTATAGCCCATCAAAGTTTAATTAAATTTTAAGCCGGTCCTGGCTATTGTTAACGAAAAACATAACCATAAAAATATCAAAATAAACAATGAAAAATGTCATATTTGACAACAAACATAACCATTTAAATCAAATTGACATTTTGCAATGAAAAATGTCATTATTTACTTAAGTTGCAGCATTTGCATTTTGACGACACTCTTCATAAATTAGTAACATTTCCACTAATTCATTATTGAGGCACAAAAAAACTGACATTTTTCATTGCTAAATGTCATTTTGATTTAAATGGTTATGTTTGTTGTCATAGATGACATTTTGCATTGTTTATTTTGTTATTTTTATGTTTATGTTATGCTTATGTTATTTGTTAACAATAGCCAGGACCGGCTCAAAATTTAATTAAACTTGGATTTTGGAGTTTTGATAAAAAAGTTACTTAAAATATTTATTTGTTTATCTGATTTCTACACGCTGTTAAAAGGAACGCGTCAACTTAAAACTCACCCTAGACTCTATATTGTCAACTGCTTATAAATGGTCTTTTGAGTTTTGGAAATTGCCAGAAAGCACAAGGTGCTAAATCATGTCCCAGATAGCACAAAGAAGTACTAAAAACTTCCTGAGTATATCTTGTATACATATATATATATCAGACATTACCCAGATAGCACAAAGAAGTACTAAAAACGTCCTGAGTATATCTTGTATCAGACATTAGTAAGTTCCGAGTACGTCCGAATCAGGTCCTGAACCTTCCCCAGGACGTTCCAGGGACATCCGATGTTACCAAATCGTCGGTCCCCAGAACGTCCTAAGGAAGACATCCTCTGGCCATCCTGAAATGCTTTATTGGGGACTAATGGACAAGCTTTACAGAATTGAAGAGTGGTATTCCCAAAGGCCCAGACAGCAATATGACGTCTTAATTAAGTTTTATTTTATTAATTTGTTAAATGGATTTTATTAAAATCATTTATCTACGCCAGTGAGATAAGAACTTCTTATCCCACTCATTTTGAGTGAGATAAGAAGTTCATTAACGCACGCGTTTTTCTCTGCTTTTAACCAATCAAATAAAAAAGTCAAAATGTCAAAATAACCCTAAATTAAGTTTTAGACAAAAATAATTACCGTTTATTTTTTCATTTAGAGGCGTAGATAAAAATTTGAACAATATACGTGTGATAACGCTTTATTAACGTACTTTTGCGATTGCCCAACTCGTGCTACGCACTCGTTGGGCAAATTTCGCATGCGTACGTTAATAAAGCTCTTATCCCACTTATATCGTAAATAACTATTTAATAATTTGCTCGTACTGCGATTACTTCGTCTCACTTTTGTTTAAATTTAAGCGTGCTCTTCACCGGCACCGATAGACGGCCTGTTTCCCTCTTTTGGAGCTCGTCAGTATCGGGTAGCCGTTTACCTAGGTCTAAGACCGTTTGGTATGAAGCACGCTCTAAATTCTACTTCGCCGCTTCTTATATCAAACACAAGCAGTTACAGCGGTGAGAAGAAAGAATCGCATTAAAATGTCATAAATGTGACGTTGTAACGGTATTTCGTCATACGGCCTTTAATTTAGGTAAGTAGGGGTATAAGGGGTTGCCTAACAATAACTTACTAAATTATTGTTAAGAGACACCCTGTGTATATTTTTTTTGGTATAATTGGCGTCCATCTTAATTAGGTGTTTCCGCTAAAGGTTTACGCGAATCTATGAAAATCTGTGTCATCCTCTGGATTTTAAACGTTCTTTGTTTATAACACAAGAACCGCGATCTGGTGTCCAGGTAAGGGGGACATTATTCTTTAATTTAACGGGTATTCTTTAATTGGCGTTACCATTCCAGATTTTTGTTAGTTTTGTCAAGAATCTCACCTGGCTGATTGCTGGGCCTCTAAGCTTGTATAACGAGATTAATAAACCCTTGTACTCCACGTAGCTGTGTGTTTTTGTCTTTACGAACCATCCCTGAGGGTCGTGGCACCTTGGCACCCGTGTTACGTTACAACGTCTCCATGTTGACGTCTTAATAATATGATTTCAGTAAGAAGTAAGAAAAGAGAATATTGTAAGATATCATATAACTAAAGTCTTATTTATGATACCTACCCTTAGTAGCTTCTAATTTTGATTCCATATTGCAATAAGAGGTCAGAAAAAAGATACTTTAAGATGTTAAAAAATTTACTTCTTATTTATGAATTCATCAAGAACTCTTAATCTTGAGCTCCTTCTCATTCATTCATTCATTCATGTCATATTGTGAACTCAGTAAGATGTTTTTTAACAGAATTTGTACAGAAATCTTTCTGAATTGGATGCTGTCTGGGGGGTCTAAGTTACAAAAATAAAATTGTGAGTTATCAATGAAAAACATGTAAATGTTGAAATGTCTGAAACACGTTTGGAATTGCATATTCCGCTCTCCTGAAACCGTCAAACTCGCCTTCGGCTCGTGTGACAAACTCTTCACTCGAGCGGATATGCTGTATTCCTAACTTGTTACAGAATATACTATTAAGTCATTCTGCATGACACAAACTATTTTAAAATGATAATATATTATTTAACCAACTTGGCACTTACATACACTGCTTCAATTACGTCCTTGGGACGTACCCAGTATAACCGCTATAATTTTCCCAAATAAGTAAGATACTGGACGTACCCAAAACTTCCGATATAGGTCTAGGACGTTCGGACCTATGTGGGACCCGAAATGGACGTCCTGGGTACCTCTTGTGCTATCTGTTAGCTAACATACGTATGTCTGGGGAACAATATTTTGTGTATGTAGTTATCAAAGACAGTGCTACCAACACATGAATGTTTGTTATATTTCAGATCGTCCTGGAGTTTCGGTGAGGCAGGAGCCTGGCCATGCGCCTCGGCCTGGCTCTGCTGCTGGTCGCGCTGTTGTCAACGTATCGCCGCATACGGTCGCCGTCGCCCGTCGCCGCTCCCCAACGCCTCCACGTCCTCTTTAACCTGCTTCCTTCCATCCTCTTTTTCAGAGCGGTCGACGCGCTCAACGTCACGCAGGCCTTCGACGGAACCGCCGCCGTTCTGCCGGGTCCGACCAGCAGCCACGTGCTACCACCTGTCGTACCAGATCAGTATACAGGTAAGAAGGGTAATTGTAAATATCCCTATTAGACTGGGCCAACAAAATTGACTATTTATTTTTTTTAAATAAAGGGTGTATCATAAGGTGTATCATAAGAGCGCAAGATTTCAAAGTTTAGTAAAACATGGTTTTAAGTATTAAAGCATTGAAATATTTATTGATTTATAAAGTACACATTTGGAAATTATGTATAAAATAACACATCTGGTAAATGGCCACCAGGGCTTAACTGGCACAAGCGTATTCTTTTGGCAAAATTTGCAATAACATTATTAAATACATGTGGCGGTATTTCGTTGATAGAGCGTCTAATTTCTGCTTTTAAGGCTTCGATGGTGGCGGGCTTGTTGGCATAAACTTGTGACTTCAAATAACCCCACAGCCAAAAGTCCAAGGGTGTTAAATAGTGGTGAAAATGGGCCTCATCACTGAAAATGATTTTGTCCGCAAAATCGGCATTCACTTCTTGCTGCTCAACGATCCAATTGGTGAACTCTCTTCGCTGTTCATGGTCTTTTGGCTGGAGTTGTTGAGTCAATTGGACTTTGTAGGCATGAAGATGCAAATCTTAAGTAAGAATTCGCTGAAGAGTGGCTTTTGTAATGTCCAATTCTTGTGCACGATGGCAAATCGACGACTCTGGACTCTCGGCCACACTCTTGCGAACTGCTGCGACATTTTGTTCTGAACGTGCTCGTGTCGTGTGTTTCACATCACTAACCGAAGCAGTGCTTTCAAATTTTTCGATTATTCTTTTCACAGTAGATGAATTAGGAACATTATTTCGAAAAAATATTGGACGCCCTTTACGAATCGTGGCAATCAAACTTTCATCATTTTGATAATAGTGTTTAACAATCAGGACGGGTTGTTTTATCGTGTAATGCTCTATATTTACTAACTTCCATCTGTCTCCTATCAATCTGTCATGTCATTAATCATGTGACATCATGGTTGCCAAACTGAGGCGAAATTCAAATCTTGCGCTCTTATTGATACACCCTTTATATCGAGAATGTCATTCAGAATGACAAAAAAAATTTTTGTGAAAATTCCACACCTGTAATTTTTAACCAATCAAAACGTGTATTTTTGATAGATCACCATGGCAACGGTTGAATTTTAGTGGAAATTTTTTCCTCGTGGGTACCCAACAGCGAATTATACTGGAAATTTTTTGACGTTTATAATGACAGAATATTTTTTTGACAATCTGGTTTTTATTTGTTTACATGATAATTTTGATACATTTCCATTACAAAGTTAAGATGTTTTCTATATTCGTTGGACACCTCCTTTCTTCTTAATGGCGAAAATGCAGGACTTGAAATAAATTAAATGTCTATGTCTAATGAAATATATATAATATTTAGACACTATTCTATTCACCTTTTTTCCATTTAGCACTTTGAGTTTTGAATAGTTAAGATGCAAATATTTGTGAACAATTCAAAACAAATTTTCTTTCTTCAAGTAGGAGCCACAATCCTCTAATAATGCGGGTAAATAAGTCATTGCACGATGATTGATCATTACAGCAGACAATTTCACATTTTTTTACGTCGTGCCGCTTGACAGCTTCAAAACTGAAATAACTTTTAGGTTGGGGTTGACTTAGTTGCCATGGTAACTAAATAATCAAGTCGAGGTCAAGTTAAATCAAAAAATAAATTTTAATTATTTAAACACAATTTGGTGTGGAATTTTCTTACCGAATACCACACGAGGTCAAATTAAATCCGGAAATTTTTTCTCCCTCATGAATATTTTTAGAAAATTATCCCTCGTCTTCGACTCGGGATAATTTTCAAAATATTCATGAGCTCGAAAAAATTTCCGGAAATAATTTGACCTCTAGTGGTATTACTAGTGAAAATTTGAGCCCTTAATATTAATTTTAACACGTAGAGTGCCACAATGAAAATGCAGCTTGCGGTCCCTTTTGGCCAACATTTTTTATTTGATATTTTGAATCCATTTTGGTCAATATTTATTTATTTTTATTAGTTTTATTGAAATTAATAACATTTGTGCCCAATTTCGTCAATTTTTGATGACGGACCACGTTGATCCCCCACGGCATGAACAAAAACGCGCACCGTCCCGGCCAGTGGGGGGTCACACGGAACCGTCATATACAGGGTGTCCCGAAATTAGGGGGCCAAACTTAAACAGTGCATTCTTCATAGAAAAGTAACATTTTTTTGTTAAATAAACATGTATCAAAAAACGCCCCCTAACGGAGCTACGGCCCCCTGAATACTAGCCTAAGAGAATAGTTTTTTTTAAACTATTCCTAGAGCGTTAAACATGAAGAAATAAAATTTTGGCACTTTGGTAATTTTTAGATGCTGAATCAAGATCTAAGATCAAAACTGTTAAAATTTAATCATAGGCTTAACATTTGGGGGGAAAAGTTATAAAAAGTTATAAAAATAGCCCCAACTTTTTTCCGAGATAATATTTTAATTTTTTTTTATAAAATTATGAAAACTTATAGTTTTTTACGAAAAATAGGTAGTCTTGATTTGAATCGCTCAGATGCACCATTTTTGAGAAAAATGCATTTATAAATTACTCTGCATACATACACATCTCATATTTTCGTTAAAATTTTATGTTAAAATTTGGAAAATCGCTCAATAATAAAAAATAACAAAAATCGAGCCAAAAAATATTAACTAAACTATAAAAATGAATGTAAAGTCAGCAAATAACCCAAACGTCACTTTTGTCCCAAAGCTTTTTAATGAAAATATTAGAAATTATGCTAAGCATAGTAATTTAATTTCAATTTTCTCGAAAATGGTGCATCTGAGCGATTCAAAGCAAGAGTACTTATTTTTCGTGAAAAACTATACATTTTCATAATTTAATAACAAAACATTAAAATACTCACTCTGCAAAAAGTTGGGGCTGTTTTTGTAAATTTGCCCCCTCAAATGTTACGCCTATGATTAAATTTTAACAGTTTTGATTATAGATCCAGATTCAGAATGTCAAAATTACCAAAGTCCCAAAAATTCAGGTCTTCATGTTCAACCCTATAGGAATAGTTTAAAAAAAATTATGCTCTTAAGCTCCTATTTAGGGGGGCGTAGCTCCGTTAGGGGGCATTTTTTGATATATGTTTATTAAACAAAAAAGTGTTATTTTTCTATAAAGAATGCACTGTTTAAGTTTGGCCCCCTAATTCGGGACACCCTGTATACCAGGAACTAGACCTATTTATTGTTTACTTATGTTTACAATGTTTTTTTTAATTACATATTTCAAACCGGAAACTTTTTTTACCTTATCCAAAAATATGTAAAAATCAATTCTATACTAATACTGCTAAATACATTTCAGATAGACTGCCATATAGTTTGCATTGAAATTTCGCATTAACGTTATGCGACACGGCCACAAGTAATTTCTGGTCCGCCGGTATACGTTAATCCCCCACGGCCAGAATGCCCCCTTTGTAAAAATGTATTAGACTTTTTTGTTGTATCAAAAACTATGTAAAAACCACTTCTATACTAAAACCAAATAAATTTCCATATTGCTTAATACATCTCTAATGGGCTGTCACACAGTTTTATTGAAATGTTGCATCAACGTCATGCAGTGTGGCCACAAATAATTTTTGGTCCGTCAGTATACGTTGATCCCCCATGGCACTCTACGTGTTAAGAGGTCTATCATCCCTATTTTTGATTTTTAGTCATAATTTGATGTTTTACGTTAGAACTGTCAAAACATTAAAGTGAAAAAAATTCCTTTTCACTTATTTTTACATAAAATTAAATTCTCTACAAAAAAGGTCAGACGAGCCGTTTCCGAGTAATTGAGTTTAATAAATCGATGTGTTTTTTCGATTTGCCGTTTTTACTTTGAAATTTTGTAACTAATGAATCAGTGAATATTTAAAAAAGCTCACGTCGGATTCTTAAAGGAAATTTAATGTTCTACAAAAAAGGTCTCTTAACACTTTTGCCTATATTTAATTCTTCAAAAGTTATTCACGAAGAAAAAATTGAAATTTTAAGTTTTTCTTCGATTTTAATCGTGAATAACTTTTGAAGAATTAAATATAGGCAAAAGTGTTAAGAGACCTTTTTTGTAGAACATTAAATTTCCTTTAAGAATCCGACGTGAGCTTTTTTAAATATTCATTGATTCATTAGTTACAAAATTTCAAAGTAAAAAGGGCAAATCGAAAAAACACATTGATTTATTAAGCTCAATTACTCTGAAACGGCTCGTCTGACGAAAATTTTCAATCAGACTTTTTTTTAGAGAATTTAATTTTATATAAAAATAAGTGAAAAGGATTTTTTTTTACTTTAATGTTTTGACAGTTCTAACGTAAAACATCAAATTATGACTAAAAATCAAAAATAGGGACGATAGACCTCTTAAAATTAATATTAAAGGCTCAAATTTTCACGAAATTTTTTTTTGTCATTTTGAATGACATTATCGATATATTTTTCAAAAAAAAAATAGTCATTTTTTTGGCCCAGTCTAATCCCTATTGTAAATGACCGATAGAATCCAATAAAAAATAAGTAATTGGTTTGAATTGGTTTGAAATGTGTTTTGGCGCTATGAATCACCAATTTATTCCAGTTGCATTCCTATTGGTAAGTTCCAATGAAGTCAGCGGCTTAAATTGGAATATACCAATCCATGTTTATGCTTGTCTCTATTGGCTAAATCCAATAGAAATGCACCTGGAATGAATTGGTAATTCATAGCGCCAAACCCATTTAAAATTTGAACCAATTTATTTTTTTAAATTTGGATTAAAAATACCAGTTGATTTTTCATTCAAAAATAATTAAGATCCCAGAAGAATAACCGGGTAAATACCAGAATTCATTTTTCACAGAAGAGACAAACAAATTATTATAACTGAGTAACTTTATTTCTTTATTATTTTTTTTTGTGATATATGTATGTATTGATACATGGGTCGTTTTCAAAAAACACCCGCCTTCCGCTGTCCGTAACTTTGTTAAAAATTATCGGATCTTATTGATTTAAAACCCAAGTGAAAGCCTAACAAGCCCTTAGTAAACTCTTTCAGAAAATGTTTGTTTAGTTATTTTAGAATAATTTTTTTTTAATTTTGAAACTTGTGAAACACACATTTTCGCATGTCCCATTAGCGTTTTATAAATCTTACATACATGTTTTTTTTTAAATATCGAATAACCAGAACTTTGTGTTGCTTTATAGCAATCCATATCCTTAGTTAATACAGTGAACAATTTATATAAAATAATTAATTTTAATCTACTTTTTTTAAATTTGACTCATGTCCCAGACATTTTTTCCGTTGCGTTACGTCCGTCGCCTTACCAACAGAATATTAAAAAAAATTTTTTTGGCACTCACGTGATCCACAAATGATGTTCGGACGTACACATTAACCAGCTGAATTTATTTATTTAATCAGGAAGAAGATATCGGTTAAAACAGGTGCGGGTAACGCGAATGTAATAATTGTTTGTCCGCTAAGTTACTCAAAAAAAATAATAAAAATAAGATAAGAAAAAATACTATTTTTCATGATTATGTTTATTTTAGGGCACCAAAGCTCATTGAGAGTAATTAATGACTGTAATGTCTTATTATTATTTTTTAAATATGGTTTCACAAAACTTTTTCCACTGCGAGTCCATTATGTTACCTTATGGTAACGCAATGGAATTTAGGGTAACGCAATAGAATTTTTCGACAACAAAGTGGATATTTACCGTCGCTTTTATTAAAAGTAGTTTATGATAAACCAATTTAAAATTATTGGTGATTACAACTCATGATATAGATTACATCCAAGGGAAAATTCCACGCAATATACAAGTACTAAAAGGGACCTCCACCAGCTTATAGTTGGTTTAGATGGTTTCTACAATTTAGAAATCTAAGTTGTTATTCTGCAAGTGAGTACCACTACAAGGGATTTTGTTTATGCATTACTCTAAAATCGTACCACCCAATATAGTTTCTTTTTTACGTTATCTGATTAAGTTCTTTGTGTACCCCAGTCCGTTGTGATACCAATGTCTATTGCGTTACTTTTTTAGTTTTTGTTAAAAAAAAATACTTAAAGTGATTTTCATACACTATCACTTGGTAATACGTGTTTATAAATTAGAGTTTAACTCACTAATACAGTGACTAAAAGAAAATATTACTGGTATTGTTTTTTTAACAAAGAATCGGAATGGTTTCTTTTAAAAAGTAACTTAACGAACATAAATATTTAAAAAAAGCATACAATTTTTAATAAAAAATAAAATAAAATATTGGAGTCAAAAGTTTGTGAACTAAGTACATTTTATTTCAAAATATTTACTTTTTTTTATTGAATTAAATTTTGGATTTCAAATTGGTAACACAGAGGGAGATATACATATTACAATATTAAACACATTTTTCTGAAAAAAACGTTAAAAAAAAAATAAAAAGTGCACTGCCCGTCTTAAATGAAGTAAACAAAACTCTAAACATTTATAAAAATCCAACCAAAAGTCAATTTAAGCAAAAAAAAATGATCTTTATTTTCCTGAAAGCGGGTGTTTCCTGAAAGCGGGTGTTTCTTGAAAATGACCCACATATAACTTACTAACACAAAAAAGTAATAAAAAATAAATAAAATTACTCGGTTATAATCATTTTTTTGTCTTTCTTGCAAAGGATGTTTGTAGGCATGGTCGAAATCAATATTATTTATGTCAATTTTTTTTTATTTTGTCCTCTGTAACCACTATTCTCACGCCATAGTCCCTAAACCTTACACATATAAACATTTTTTTAAGGTATAAGTACACACCACTATAAGTACACAACTACCACTAAGCACAGAAACCCATAGATTATAAAAGAAACCGAGTAATAAAAAAACGACATTAAATAGCGTCCAAAGACTTGTTTGTTTCTTTATGATGGCGTCCCAACCATTCGAACAAGGACTGCGTACAGGGCCGAGCCTAGGGTATCTGCCGCCCGGGTGCAAGAATTAAATTTGCCGCCCCCATTAATGTAAAAAATTAGGTTGTCGGTAGAGAAGGAGTTCATTCTTAATAAACATATAACAAATTTTATAGTAAAATAACAAAGTATTGATTAACAAATACATAAAAGAATAAAATAAAAATACATTCAGGAAAAAAAAAACAAAAATAATTAAACTAAACTAAAAAACTAAAATCTACTTTTCTCGCTTTTTTAATAGCAAATTCCCTAATCAAGTCGCCTACATCCAAGTTGTTAGAAATATCTTCTTCAATACTTATAATTGCTAAATTTGAAAGCCTGAATTGACTCATATTGGATCTTAAATAGGTCTTAATTAGTTTTAATTTCGAAAATGACCGCTCTCCATGGGCATCGTCAAAAATATTCTTAAAGCTACAAATAAATTCGGAAAGATGCCTTTTAAATCATTAACTAGTTTTTAACTTAAACGCATTAAAAGACAAAAGAAACTACTATGTTTGCATCCTATTTGCCTCACGTTAATAGAAAAACTAAAAATTGCTGAAATACGTAGCCGTCAAATCGGAAGAAATTATGCTTTAACTTAACAGTTCAGCTTGTAAACAATATCACGTGGTACACAGCGCGCGATTTGATTGGTTTCCCGTAAGCCCGCTTCCGTAAAATATGAAACTTGACGAACTCGAAGCGGACGGACGGAAAGCGAAGCGGGCGGGCGGCAATCTATAAACCGGGCTTTAAGAAAATTGTCATCATTATTTTTTGGGGCTATCGCGCGTTCGGTTGTCTTTTTTATCATTGCCGCCTGACAGCACAATTTTGGCATTGTTTTTATGTGTAGAATGAAAACGATGATTCCTTGAAACGCCGACATCAATAAAACGCAAGTGATTTTTAGAAAGTTTTTTGCATATTGCAAGGTGGCTTTTTTATTCCTAATAATATGATACAATTTTTTTGATGATATTTTGCCGCCCTGTGTTAGTGCCGCCCGGGTGCCATGCACCCCTTGCACCCCCGGCACGGCTCGGCCCTGACTGCGTACGTTGGTTTTGCGCAGCTACACGAGCTCTCTTGCGATATTTTAAAGTATTGGGAATAATCAATTAGAAGATTCCTTTTTAAAATCTCACACTGGGAATGCCAAATTGAATTCAATTGGAAATTACCTATGGGTAGCTTTAACCAATCGAAACCACTAAAAAACAGTAGAATCCTAATTGGACTTTTCCATATTTTAAAGTATTGGGAATAACTAATAAGCAGATTCCTTTCTAGAATCTTACACTGGGAATGCCCAATTGAATTCAATTGGGAATTGCCTATTGGTAGCTTTAACCAATCAAAACCGCTAAAAAAACAGTAGAATCCTAATAGGACTTTTCCATCATGGAAAATACCAGTAAAAATCAATTTTTGTTTTATATTGCTCCCAATTAAACCCAGTAAGTCCAATTCAGACCTATTGATACCAAGCAATACTTCAATTGGTTTCTATAAGGAATTATTTTTACAGGATTTCTCAAAACTTATCTCTCTGGACAAAAAAGTTATTTTATAACACAATTATTTTTCCACATTTTAACTACCTATTGTTTATCTTTATTGATCACATCAACAAAAAATGATGTTAATAAGTTACAGTTGCTCCAAAAACAAAGCAATAAGGGTAATTTTAAACTGTGACAAATACACCTCAATTTTTAATATGTTAAAATCGTTAAAGTGGCTTCCAATCGATAAAATGATAGAAATGTCAAACTTAATTTTAATTTATAAAATCGAAAAAAACTTAACTCCTACTTACTTACAGCCTTATTTAGTTAAAAGATCAAGCTTTCATACACATCAAACTAGAAACAGAGATGATTATATTGTGGAAAGATGCAATCTTAATATCTGTAAAAAATCACTATTTAATGAAGGTTTAAAATTATTCAATAATCTGACAGTAAATTTAAAGGTAACTGCAAATTTAAATATTTAAAACAGAACTAAAGAATTATTATTTAAGTAAAATTGTTTAAGTATATGAATTGGATTGACACTTTGGTAATGTTTTTTTTTATATTTTGTTATGGGTAGTCTAAGAAGTCTTCAAAAATGTCGAGCCCACATAATATTTTGGATTATTTTTTTTATATTTTTTGCCTTTTTTTATGTGGGCTATGGCTTATTTAGAAAATTATTTTGAATCAGTGAAAAGATTGCCTTTCTGCTTAGAGAAGTTATAAATACTGTATATATTGTATATATTTTGTATATATTATGACTAGCATCTATTGCTAAATAAAAAAAAATTATAATCGGTCATTTACAACAGGGGTAATAGTAAAAATAAACTTCAGTTATTGGAATGACCTGAAAAAATCGAAGGCTCAGTAACATATTTTCCAGGCGGTCTCGTTCAGCCGACGAAGAATTCCGAAGAAGATGACAGTCGCGAATACTCGTACCCATTGGCGCCCACTCTGGAAAGTACCACCAGCGCTATGGAGCTGTACACGGCGACGGCCGAGCCGGCGAAAAACCTCACGTCGAGCAACCTCAAGTCGGAAAACCTGGGAAAGAAAAATCTAACTGTCGGATATCTAACCGCGGTCAAGGGGTCGTTGACCAGCAGACAGGGCATGCTCGTTTCAGGAGCCATCCAAATGGCACTCGATAAGGTACTGCTTCTTAAATATATTTTTTTAATGTGCAGAATTACACTATTTAACGATTTGTCCGTATTTGGTTCCTAAAGAGGTAGAGGGCTAAATCAATTTTAAAACGTTACACAGTAAAAAAATATTTGTCAATTTTAACCAAATATTAACCAGATTTTATGTTAATCCAGGTCCACATAACTTAAATGAAAAGAATTTTGATAAGAATTGTTGCTTTACCCAGATAGCACAGAGACATCTTAAAGATGTCGGACTCGGACGTTTATGACATCTTTAAGACGTCCAGTTTACGACGTAAGTCATCTTTAAGACGTCTTTAAGATATCTAATGTTACAAAACACATCGTCTTTAAGATGTCGTTGCTAAACGTCGTTAAGACGTCTTTAAGATGTTAAAGACTACCAATTTAATAACACAATTAAATAACACCATTCTAAAATCATCAATTTATAAAAAAATAGTACAATATAATTATTAGTACTACTACAACACTTAAGTACTAATGTATTTTGTAACTTTAACCCACTTTACTGTATCCCCTAATTTCGGTTTAAAAACCAGTGATACTTTGCACTCGTTAAATACGTATAGGTATAAGGAATACGAATAAAAATAATAACAGATTTCTGGTAATATATTATAAACACTGGACAGTTGTTACGAACACGTTACAAATTAGAATAAAGCAAGCAACATAAGTTGCACACGCTAAAGTCAGTTGAACTTGTTCATGGGCGATTGCACGCGTTACTGATGGGACAATCGGAAAAAAAATTAACTATTTTTTGATATTTGTTGCTATCAGTAATGGGCTAATGTCAGTAATATTTGGGTAACTATTAAAGCTATAGTTTGTGTAAAATTTTCAGTATCAGAGCTATTAAAATGTTTTTTATTTTACGAACTAGAAATCAATAAAATGTTGTTACTGATGGGACAAGAAAAAGGTCAAAAAAATTTCTGATTACTAGAAGGGAATAATTCTCTGAAACAGAATAATGTTGAAGAAAAGTATAGATGAACCAAGTTGCAGATGCAGTTAGTATAACTTATTTTGACATCACTCATCTTTCAGTGTAATCTTTGTAGGCAATGCATTTTGATTTCTCGTTACTGACGGGACATTACTGATGGGACATTTATTATTATTATTTATTATACACCGAAACAAATGTGTAATTAGTTAATTTAACTAAATAACTTCAACAATAATTTTAACATGATAATAACAACTGCAAAAAATTTAAAAGCATTTGAACAAATTTGATTTTTCGGATTCATAGTGCTTCTTAATCAACATATGAGTACCATCAACAAACTTAAAATAGTGTGAACTTAGTATATCAGGTATTCAAATTTTTTTTTGTTTTTTTTTGTTTACTGCTTTTTATTTTCTCTAAACCTTCTTTTCCTTTCTCTTTCATTAATTTTTTGCTGCATTTTAAACCCACCATCATTTTTTTAATTTTTCTCTTTACTTTTTTGCGCTTGAAGCATTTTTAGACAGGTAAGTCTTTTTTAAAACAGGATTTTCATAAAATTTTTTGCGATATTTTTTAACCCGCCGCTTCGTATTTTCTTTGTCAAGCACGTTTTTTTTTGCCATCCTAAAAATTATCACATTTCGTTACTGACGGGACCAACTTAAAAAAAAAGAAATACAAAAATCTGGGACAGCAAACCAATATATTTTTATCGCGTAAGCAAATGTGAAATAGGGACAAACATTTTTAATATTAATTAAAAACTGGGCAAGTTGCATACTTGCGATATTAAAACTTATCATATAATTTCGTTACCGATGGGACAAATATACAATAATATTATAAATTTAAATTTCTAGAACAGTTTACTTACTTGCAAAAAAAATATTCAGTAATATGTTCACTAATAGTGGCGTCTAATCAAAACGGACGTTTTCGGAAGCGTCACTTACTGTTATAGGTCAAAGCCACCTTGATTAAAATGCTACTTTGCATATAAATTTTAACATAGGAAAATTGGTTATTTTTGACCATATTTTTTTAAATAATAAGTACCTGAGATAAACATTTTTAGTTTTTTCAACTAATTTCACCATTAATGATTAACTTTAGTATATTTTTGTTTCATTGTGCCCTGCTTAAAACTGATGGAAAAAATTACATTGCGCGTGCAATCGCCCTCATGCGTATTGTCAGTGAAAAATGTCTTGATGTCTGAAATCACGTGTACTTTTTCAACGAAATAATTTGTTAAACATTAACAAAATAATCTGTAACCTTTGAAATTAACAAAATGCTTACAAAATTGCCTTTACAAAACTTTCGGTAAAATATTTTCCCTTCTTAAAAAATTAAAAACCCTGGTTTTCTACAAAAAATTATGTTAAGATTTTACAAAGAAAGATTAACAAACTACAAACTTATGTTAACAAATCGGATTCTTATAAGAGTGTAGGATGTTTTATTTGTTTCTTTTTAGGTTAACAGCGATCCGGATTTACTTCCGAATGTCACGTTGGTCTTGAGATGGGTGGATACCAAAGGTGAAACAGTGGTAGCTACCAGAGAAATGACCCACATGATTTGTGATGGCGTTGTAGCATTTTTTGGACCTGAAAGTACTTGTCATGTAGAGGCTATAGTCGCCCAATCCAGAAATATACCAATGATAAGCTATGTAAGTTCCGTATTAAAATTATTTTTTAATAATTACAAACTTTTTTAATTCAAGTTTTACATGGATTATAAGGTATCCCAAGATAGGCATTACATCCAAATCTGCACTGCTGGGGAAAAACTAGATAAGTCAATTTTTACTAAAATTAGATGTGCACACAATAGCTTTATATTTTTAAAGTGCTGTAATTTTCGATTTACCTAGTTGTTCCCAAATAATGCAAAATCATTTGACCAAAAATAACATTTATATTAGACTGGGCCAAAAAAATCAACTATTTTTTTTTTGAAAAGTATATCGAAAATATGGTTTGGGGCGACAAAAAAAATTATTGTGAAAGTTTGAGTCCATAATATTAATATTAAGAGGTCTATCATCGCAATTTTAATTTTTTTTCCCTCATCAAGTTTTTGTCTCAGAACTCCCAAACCATTGAGTTTAACAAAATTTACTTGAAAATATTTTTTTAAGAAAATTAAATTCTCTACAAAAAAGGTTAAATGAAATTTTTCGTTAGATGAACCGTTTCCTTAAAATTATGCCCTAAACATTGGTATAGTTTTACATTTGGAACTTTGGAATTTTGAAATTCATGTAAAAATCAGTACCCATATAAAAACCAATAATCTTATGTGAAATCAAATGCTTTACAAAAAAAGCCTCTTAACATTTTTGCTAAATTCGCTCAATGAAAAGTTATTCAAGGTTAAAGTTGAAGTCAAAACGAAATTCTTGTCAAATTTAACCTTGAATAACTTTTGATGGAGTGAATTTAGCCAAAAATGTTAGAAGACTTTTTTTGTAGAGCATTTGATTTCCCATAAGAATATTCATCGGTTTTTTTCTGGGTACTGATTTTTACATGAATTACAAAATTCCAAAGTTAAAAGATCCAAATGTAAAACTACACCAATGTTTAGGGCATGATTTTAAGGAAACGGTTCATCTGACGAAAAATTTCATTAAACCTTTTTTGTAGAGAATTTAATTTTCTTAAAAAAATATTTTTAAGTAAATTTTGTTAAACTCAATGGTTTGGGAGTTCTGAAATAAAAAACTTGATGGGGGAAAAAAAATTAAAATTGCTTAATATTAATATTATGGACTCAAACTTTCACAATAATTTGTTTTTGTCGCCCCAAACCATATTTTCGATATACTTTTCAAAAAAAAAAATAGTTGATTTTTTTGGCTCAGTCTACCCACTTGGCAAGGATCTGTTGCTTAAACGTTTTATTACTGTTAACGAGTTACTGTAACGTGTCCAATAAGGTAACATAAACGTAACGGCATCGTCACAGTTACAGTTAATGTCCGCCTTCTGCAACGTAACATTGTGACGGTATTTTTAAAACGCTTATGTAACGTTCCGCTTGTGATGTTACATATGGTGGTACCGCGCAGCATCTATTTAACGTAATTATCAAAACGTTTATGTAACGTTCCGGTTGTGGTGTTACATATTTTACGTTGGCATAACAGTGGCGGCTGCTGGATTTTGCGTTTACCGATATCTTAGTACCCACACCAAATTTATATGAGTTTATAATGACACTAATTTAACAAGTTCTGCACAAGCAGAATTCAAATATAAGTTTGCGAAAAAAAAAATAGTTTTTGCTCCGCCTACCCTGCAGCCTGGCCCTAATAAGTGCAGTGCATACACTGGCCCTATTAAAGATAAATTGCAATTTATAATTTACCATAGTTTATCAACAAATTTTAAATAAAAATCCAAATATTACAGATTGTATACCATTTTAAATTTTTATTTCTTTTCCTAAAATAATAAAAAAATAATATGGGATAAAATATGTAATACTTGGATTTTTTAAATAAATTTTGAAATTTGTTAATAAACTAGTGAAATATAAATTGCACTATTTACATTTTTATTATCTTTATTAGGGGGGCCAGGCTGCAGGGTAGGCAGAGTTAAAACTATATTTTTTTCGCCAAATTCTATTTAAATTGTTAATTTAGTGTCATTATAAATTCATATAAATTTGGTGTCTAATAACTGAGATATGGCATATGCAAAATCCACCAGCTGACACTGTGGTAATAATGTAATTTATGAAATAAAAATGTTTCATTTAAAATTATAAAAAATTTATTAAATATTTTAACAAAACTAAACAAATATTCTTTGGTTTCTTTATTCTCTAGTCATTCATGGTTATTTCCCAGGTAGCACACTGACGTCTGCTGACGTTTATATGACGTTGAAATGACGTTGCTAACGTCATTTAAACGTCAGAAGACGTCATATAAACGTCAGCAAACGTCAGTGTGCTACCTGGGTTATTCAACGGCATTTTTTTCAATTGCAACTTTTTCCCGTTTTAATCGCTGGTTTCCTAAACGGAAAAAATCCATGGCGCTTTTCTTAAATATTTTCATTATTAGTGCCGGGTAGTAGCGCCTAGGCATAAAAGAAAATAAGTTAAAAGACATATTCATTCAATGTATCATCAAGTTTTAAAAGTTACTCATGTATATGTGTATGTATTAATAATACATTTATTTTATTTCTTTTTTGTATATAAGAAAACTATAGAAGAGTTACCAATTTATTGTAAACATCTTCCGCAGTTAACGCATTCTCCAGTTGTTTAAGTTGTTCCAATGTGTTGCATGGCAATTGAGGTCCTACATTTTCGACTCCCTCCTGCGGATACTGCACGTTTAAAGAAAGCTCCAGTTTGTTAATCTTGTCTAGCAACAGTTTCTGTATAGTTTGAATATTTATCAAGTAATGACGCGTGACTCAACTAAAAAATAAATAGTTACTATTGGAACTGGAGTTACTCACACTTTTTCTTACAAGTTTCAATATCAGATGCAACAAATAATGGGGAATTCATCTTATGCATCAACTGGATTTGCCTCAGCTAGATTCGCTTCTATTGGATTTGCCTCTGAAATTATGAAAACTTCAGTAATATTCATAAAATTTCTCTAAAGTATTACCTTCTTGCACTTGGTGGTTTATCTCTGGAGATGAGCTCAGGTCAGAAAGTCCATCATTTGACCTTGGAAACTCTTAACAGTGTGGTTTTCATTTAGGTACATATTTCTAATAATAATTGTTTCAAAATAAATATGACACCAACAAAATATTTTAGGAAAGGAAATCGAAGAATTTTTGTTTTAGCAAAATAGGATTAAAACTTGTGCACCTTTTTGTATGATTTATGATTTACATTAATGTTTTGCAATGGAATATACCTAAGCAATTACACAAGAGTAAATGGTACTCACCTCAATGTTTTTTCTATTTTGTTCCATTGTCCAAGCAAAAGCGTGCTGTTTAAATAATAATAACCGTGAATCACAGAACATAATAGAACTAAAAGTTCCTATTCTAATATTGGCAACAACGATTTTACAAGAGGTGGTCACGCTCTGGCCTACTTGATCTTAAGTTTTTCCATGCGGTTCCGTAGCCCGCGAAATTTGAATAGGTTATTATTTAAAAATACTTATTTTTGATTTAAAAAATACAAAATTATTTAAAATAAACATTTATTGGTACATATATACATAAATAGAAGGGCAATATAACCTAAATTAATGGTTTATTACACATAATGTAGTTAATTAACTACATTACATACTTTATATAAATTTGCCTGTTTAGATTTTATTGTAGTAAAATATTTATTTTATTATTATTTATTTTTAGATTTTCTGTAACAAAAATGAGATTTAATAATTACTTGAAGATAATATAAGTATTATATTAGTATATTTTAATACAATAAAACCTAAAGAGCCGAATTTCAACACATAAACTATTAATTGTTTAAAACAATTTGTTTTATACATTATAAAGGCATTCAGTAACCTTTGAATAAAAATACATTGTAAGATATTATGAGTTTTTAAATAGGTACTTAGTTAATTAGTATTAAATAAGGTAATATAATTTGATCATCGTTTGTGCACATTCATCAAAGAGTCTCTGATATAATGCTAAAAAAATACTTAATTAACATTTACAACAGTCAATTTTCTTAGTGACAAAAAATCTTATTTAATACATTGTTAATACCTTGTATATATTACACAAAAATAGCAACATTACAGTTAAATCTATTAACATAGGTTATATGTTATATATAAATAAGTATTTTGTCAGACTAAAAAGTGGAATCCCACATAAAAATATACTTAAAATAAACAATTGGGATCATCCATAAAGTATATCACACCTTTTTGGAGAATTTCAGACTCCCTCCCCTCATGTCCCACATAATTATATTATTATGTTATCTTAATCAATGATGTTATAATATTTTCAGTCTTGACCCTGATGGCAGGTCTGCCTTCCCCTAAACATGTGACCTACTTTATGGACAACCCCTTGTTAATAACATATGCTAAAAACTAAAATAAGTAAAAATAAATAAAAATATATATTAATACCTAGTTATTAATATAAATTTATATTTATTTAAACCAATTATGAAGAAAAATGATATATGATTAAATTTGATTATCATCTGCTACATTTGCTATATTGTGGATCAAAAGTTAAAAAGTAAGCTGGATAGTTTTTAAGCAGGACCCCTCTGGCAAAACATTGACCAAAATATGGATAGTTTCATTCCAGATATAACCTATAAAAATCTTATTTTAAAAACAATTTTAAATTTTAAAAATAAAATTTACCTTATTTATGTTTTAAGTGATGAGTTTACTCAATCCTTGTATCCTGTTTCTCCTTGGTTAGTCCTTAAACCATTGATTAAGGTGTGTTTCTTCACTCAACGCTTAAAAAATTTCCAAATAAAATTAACCATCATTTAATAACTATTAAAAGTAATGTTTAGTTAAGTATGTATACATAATAATAGATAATAATATTATCTTTGGGTATACATACCCAAAGATATTATTATTATCTTTGTGTATACCTACTTAACTAAACATTGCTTTTAGCAAATGCGGTCTAATTTAGCAAAAGCCTGTTGTATTATGTGAACACTAGTGTAAAATAATATTAATAAATAAATAAAAACAGGCATAAAAATTAAAATATGAACTCATTAACATGGAACAAATGTATGGTTCGATTTGAGCAAATAATCATACCTATTTGCAAAATTATAAGATGGATATGAAAGAAAAAATACTGATAAAACTGTTGATGAGAGGACAAGTTGCTCAAATCAAAGCCGGATTAATGCAAATATGACAAAACTACATTTATATAAATATACATGCATAGGTATGAAAACAAAAAACAAAGCATTAATGGCGGGTTTACGAGTCACTCGCGTGCGTTTGGAGGTCGCGTTTACGCGAGCTAGCCAACGCGCGCAACGGTTTTAACTCATGGTGGGCAATGGGATCGTTTATAAGTGAACTCGCGTGCGTTAAAAGGACGCGTGCGCCAAATCTCAGCCAGTTTGACGCGTCTTGGTTTTTATCCGGGGAAAAAACTTTACGCCGTAAAAAGATCGCGCGCGTTGAAGTCGATATCACGTGACATGGCCAGCCAATGGCATCAGCCGCGTAGCCTGCGTGGGAGAAGTGTTGTGTCAAACACATGCCCTGTGCACTCGCCTTAAACAAACAAAATCCACATTTTTGTCTAGTCGACTTTGGTTTTAGTTTACACTCGAGTTGCATGTGGCAGGAGCGGCGGTTAATCTTGACGGTTGCTTGGTAACGAAATCAACAAACTTCAGTTTGATAAATTTTGTAAAGTTTTGTAAATTCATATTGTATTTATTTGGTTTGTTCTATACGCTTAAAAACTTTTATAATTGCGATTTATCGTTATCTGTGTACTCTATTTTTTATATATTGCTACATTATTTGAACATTAACATGGTGTTGTGCTGTGCTGTGGGCTGCTCTAACAGTCAAGTTATGATGCATACTTTTCACAATGATGACAAGGTTGTATTGTATTATTCAATTATAACTATTTTATTAAAACAAGGTACTTACACAAATGTGGTACATAATATAATTACTTTATACTGATTTGTGTTCTTTAATAAGATAAAATTCACTTGAATACATTATTATATTGTTAATTGGTTTAGTTTAGTAAATACCTTGAATAATTTAAAATATAATACATTTATTTTTGCTTTTCAAATAAACAATTTAAATAAACTATCAGGCCTTTTATTTTTTACTATTTTGACTGTCAAAATTTGACAGGATAACCTAAATTAAAACCATAACCTAAAACCAATAAATGTCAGGCGGGTACACTAGCGGCATAGCGGGCCGAGTGTGCGTAACAAGGAGCGTCAAATATGTGACAGTGGCGTATCTATATGATTTATTATCTATGGTCAAACATAATAGACCTATCCCATAAAACAGACTTTTGGATAGCGCGTGCCTGAAGAAGAGTGGTATCTCTTTCTCTTTTATGTAATTAAAAAAAGACGACGTGTCTTTTCACGCACGCGCTATCCAAAAGTCCGTTTTATGGGATAGGTCTATTAGCAGACGAGCTAAATTCATTAATATTGCGGTTCGAAGAATTAAAAATGGGTCCATTTTCCCAAAGTATGAGACACGAGACGAAATCAAAACACACGCACTGAGGAACCAGCTGACGTTCGAAGGTGAGCAAACGCGCGCCTTTGAAACTCGTAAATGGGGTCGCGTCAGGAAGAACGCGTTGACGCGAAGGCCCAGGAAACGCACGCAAACCTCAAACGCACGCGAGTGACTCGTAAACCCGCCATAATCAAGTAATTTACGATTCAACAATTTGTTTCTATAACTAACTGAATGGTTTATTTAGTTTAGAAATTCAAAACTGGAGTTTTATAAAAGTTTATCACCTACCACAATAATTAAACTTACCTTAAAAAAACCAAAACAACACACAATTTCAAACAACAACATCGGCCATTGTTGAAAACTACATAACACACATAACAAACTGTCAAACTTTACGATGAGTCACACCGACAAGAATGATACGCGCATGAGCAAGATGGCAAAAGATAGATGTCGCTCAAAAATTTGTTGCCAATTTCCTTTAAAAAGCTGGCCCCCCATGCCGTGAATAATAAGAACAAACAAACAAACGCCCAACACGTGTGACGCCAAACAGACATATTGGCTTGGTTTTTTTGCGGCTGCGCATTGCTTCTAAATTTTCAATATCAATATGTAACGTTTAATAAATGTACATTTATAAACCTTCTAGAAACGTTCTTAATGAACGGCAGGATAACGTTATATTTTCGTTTTGGAATCAACAGTAATTATGTACCGTTTAGTTAATGTAAATTTATTAACAATTCAATAACGCTGATGAATTAGCGTTACATATACGTTTAAGGATTAACAGTTAGCATATATACCGTTTCATTAACGTAGATATATTAACAATACACTAACGTTATAAAATTAGAGTCATCACAACGTAAATGTGTTAGGGTAAAGGTAAAACGATACAGTAACGTTTATGTATTGTATAGCTTGTTGGCATGATAATGCTTACGTTCAGAATACAAAACAGGAACGTTTAAATTTGAGTGTTTAAAATATAACAGTACGAAAACGTTTTTAGGGTTTCTGTTACATTTCTTGCCAAGTGGGTAATTTATATCATAATTTTACCTTTTTACTACACATTTTATTTTATTTTTTAGAAATGCTCGGATTCCTCTGCTTCTGATGTTCCAACATTTGCAAGAACAGAACCTCCTGACACTCAGGTAAGAAATTAATATATTTTTATCAGGATGAAATTAAAATTAGTAAAAAATGTACCAAAAATACTTACATTGTGTCATATAATTAATATTTCTTACTCGCCATTAATTGGCTTACTCCCATTAGGTTGTAAAATCAGTTGTTTCGCTTATGCTGTACTACAAATGGAACAAATTTGCAATAATCTACGAGGAAGAGTGGTCGACTGTGGCAAAGTCGCTAGTAAAAGAAGCGGAAAAACGAAACATGACTATAAATTATGAGAGGGAAACTGACGCTACTTACAAGTGTTGTTCCGAAAACCGAGATTGTTGTAAGGCAAGCTATTGGTACCAATTCGTTCAAAACTCGAAGAATTTAACGAGAAGTAAAACACGTTTTAATTACGTTAGTCGTTTTCATAACTGACAATTTTTAGTATATGTGTTTCTGGGAAGCCCCAGCTCTTTGATACACTTTATGGATTCGATGCAGACCCTTAAACTGTTTGAAAACGGGGAGTACATTGTTATATCCGTGGACACAAACATCGCATACGAAAAGGAAATCAACAAGTACCTTTGGGGTAGGTGCAAGTACAATTTAATTTAACGTACTATGATCCACACTTCAAAGTCCCACCACGTGACCACGTACGGAACGCAGTCTTTTGAAAATTTGGCATTTAAGGCTTTTTAGGTTATGTATCTGTCAAAGTATAGTCAACGAAAGAAATAATATTATGTTTAGGCGTTAAAAATGTATAAATCTTTATAACATTACAATAACAATGGATGGTTTAAGAATTTAAGAATATAAATACTGCATTTAATGAAATTCTAAAGTGTATGGTGCCAAATAAGTAATATTTTTGTGAATTTGGTCCAAATATCTGGTTTTCTTCATAAAATAATTTTAACTAAACAGCATTTATTAAAAAAAATCTAGCTTCTCTATTATGGGATAAGAATATCTGTTTTAAAGGTAGGTTAATATATTATAACAAAAATATCATCTAATTTTGTAATTTTAAGGTTATAAAAATTTATTTTGACCAAAATAAATAAGTATTTTGGATTATTTAAAAGACTGCATAATATGGTATTTAAAAATGCTTAAACAGCTTAAAGGGTCAATACAAATAGTTAAAAAGCTTTGACTGAACTTGATCTACATTGAAAAATCATTATAACTTTAAAAAATATTAAAAATCACATGTCATGGGAATATTGAATATTTTCACATTGCAAGTTTCTCTAAAAATTGTTTGTTTTCTTATAATCTAACTTAAAGTAGGTATGCCAAGAGGTATGCACAAGTTTTGTCATTAGAAGTATAAAAGCTTCAATTTAATTTGAACCATATTTAACAATTATTTAGTATACCGTAAATACGGGTGACTTTGCACCCCGCGGGTGACTTTAACCCATTTATGAAAAATCTTTTCGCGCTCGATAAAATTAACATTTATAATTTGTTGGTCTAAACCTGTCAATTGAGCGATTCTATTGAGTTTATATTACAGGAAAATCAGTGTTTTAAAGAAAGAAATGGGATTTATTACACTTTAAAATTGTATATATCGCATCAGTGCAAAACTCATAGAAATACACGCGTTACAATTTCTATATTATGCGCAATCCATTGGAATGATAATCCTTGGTTAACTACAGGTCGATTTTTTATTTTTTTTATTGGTAATCCCTTGCAATAGATATATGTCGCTGCTAACACGTGTCTAATAAAAATAAAATATAATATTACATTCATTTTATACTGAAAAAACACTGTGAGACAAAGTAACCCGCAACCAGGGGGTAACTTTGCACACCCAGTTTTTAATGTTTATTTTTGAAACTCGGCCCTATGTAATATTATAACATAGTTATTATGAAAGAGCAACTCAAGACTCAAATTTTGGTATACAAAATTTAATGTTTATGATTGTTAAAACCACAAAAATTTTAAGCTGAAGTTTGAAAGTGAGCCAAAGCCACCCGTGTTTACGGTACCTATATTTATTTATGACCATATTAACACACTCTTCTAAATAATCCACTTATTTATTTTGGTCAAAATAGATTTTTCTAACCTTAAAATACAAAATTAGATGATATTTTTTGTTCTAATACATTAACCTAAATTTGATACAGATATTCTTATTTCATAATAGAGAAATTAGATTTTTTTAATAAATGCTGTTTAGTTAAAACTATTTTATGGAGAAATGTAGAACCAATGCACAAAAATATCACTTATATTGCACCTTACACTTTGGAATTTCATTAAATGCAGTATTTATATTCCTAAATTCTTAAACCAACCATTGTTATTGTGATACTATAAAGATTTATTAACTTTTAACGCTTAAACATAAGCGGTAACACTAAATATTATTTCTTTCATTGACTATACTTTGACAGATACATAACCTGAAAAGCCTTAAATGCCAAATTTTCAAAAGACTGCGTACCGTACTTGGTCACGTGGTGGGACTTTGAGGTGTGGAGCATAGTACATATACTAATAACTTTTATCAATTTAGAATCCAGTATATTTGATGACTACGAACGATGCGAAGACATTCCCGACTACCAAAGCCATTTAAAAAGAAGCAAATCATTGTTCATCGTCATTCCCACAGCACCCACTGTAAATTACGAAAATTTTTCCAAAGAAGTAAGAGAATATGGCTCCAAACAACCCTTCAATTTTATTACATCAGACTATTTAAAAAAATTTGAAAGAGTAAGTATTATGGTATCTGTTATTTCCCAAATTGGCCATGGCTTAAATCAATTGTTTATTACCTAAAAATGACTTCGAAACAAAAAAATTCGCCTAAAAGAATACTGTTTCTTTTAATATGAGAATAAATGTTATAACTCGCCAACAAATGGACATAAAGCACTACCCAAGACATATTTTTGTAGGAAATTTACCGCTCTTTTAAATGATATCGCAGGTGAAGATTAAAAAGTAATAAAAAAAATTCGGAATTTTTTAACTCGCTTACAAAATATATGTTTATATATTATTAAAGTTAAATTTAATTTATATTCCAGTAAAAAAATTTCCTCTACAAACAAGGTATCTCCTACGATTTTTCCATAAACTGTTAAATGATGAGGATAAAAGAATAAACATTAAAATTATAATGAAAAAATTAAATAGTTAATTATAATTTTAATAATTATTAAAATTAAAATCCACTATAAAACTAAAAATTTCGCTAAAATGTAAAAAACATTTTTTATATAAGTTTATTTACCTGACCGATTTGTTTGCGGTTCACCTCTGTAAAATCATTATTTATTGTGCGATTTTAACCGGATTTGTTTTAAAGTGTATACCTTGATAAACTGTATTTTTGGAGCAAAAGATGACATATTAGTACAAAATACAAGGCCTACTATGTCAGTTTTTAAGAGTAGATTTTTAAGAATTTATATTAGAGATTTTTTTAAACAAAATCTAAGCCTGGCACTGGATTCACCACCCTTTAAAACGACCCTTTACTAAATTTTATTGAAAAATTTTAAGTAGAAAAATGCACAATAATAACTACAAAAATTTATTCTAGTTACCCATGAAAAAAATATTGAAATAAAATTAAACTTATAGTAATAGTACCATGTTACTATTAGTTTAATTTTATTTCAATGTTTTTTTCATGGATAACTTGACAAAATAAACGGCCATTTCAAGCGCGCGAAACGCACGAATATAATATAATATTTTGGCATCAAAATTGTCAAAAATATTCTTCTTTTGTTAGGTTATACATTAAATAAAAAAAAACGCAAGAAATATTTTATAAAAGTAGATATAATTTTAATAATAACAGAAGAATATATTTGACAATTTTGATGCAAAAATAATATATAATAAATTACCTACAATTTTTTTTATAAAAACAGTTTTGTGATTTGTCCCGTCCATCCGCTTGAAATCGCCGTAAATTTTTGTACTTATTGTGCATTTTCTACTTAAAATTTTTCAATAAAATTTAGTATGAATTCTTAAAAATTTACTCTTAAAAACTGACCTAGTAGGCCTTGTATTTTGTAAAAATATGGCGTTTTTTGCTTCAAAAATACAGTTTATCAAGATCTACACTTTAAAACAAATCCGGTTAAAATCGCACACTAAATAAAGATTTTACAGGGGTGAGTCGCAAACAAATGGACCACACTGTATCTTTTAAATTGAGGATTTTTTTGGAGAGCGGAAAAATGTCTACAAGAATGTCCACAAGATTTTTTTTGTTTAAAATTTACTTTTGGGTAATAAACAATTGATTTAGTTAGACCATGGCCAAGTAGAAAAAGCCAATTTACAAAGTATAAACTTAATTTAGGAGATAAGCAATTTTTATTCTAATTTTAGTATGTTCCCTTATACGCTGCGTATCTCTACGATTCCGTTATTTTATACTCAAATGCTCTTCATTACTTATTGGCCGGTGAAAAAATTTTAAATGAAAAAACCATTGATAAAATAGCCAGTAATGGGACTAAAATAATAGAAACCATTATTAACATCAACAAAACGTACAAAAGTAAGAAATGTGTACCAAAACCTATAGAAAATATTTAAACATTTCTTTTAGGTGTTATTGGAACAACGATGAAATTAGATGAAAAAGGCGACTCGGAGGGAAACTTTTCCGTTTTAGCGTTTCAAAACAAATCCTATTCCTACGAAAAGAAGCAGTTCAACAAAAATTTCACCTGTTCCTTTCAAATGGTGGCGGTAGGTCAATTCTACCAACTGCCTACGGATGATTTTCCAGTGAGTGAGTTTATTTTATTTTTGTTTTTATTTATTTTAGGGTTTTACAGCGGTTTTTTATTTATCATTATGATTGTTTTGTGATTGACAGAGAAATGGTTATTATAGTAAACAACAGATTTCAGAGAACAATAATTTTATACTTTTTTTTATTATTTTATAGAATCTATAATGACCAATAGGGTGGTCCTTAATAAGGTTATTTTCAAATTTCTTTGCTCCCAGGGGCCCAAATACTTCCAAATTGATAAAAAAAATTCCCTGAAAATTTGAGCTCTTAATATTAACTCTAATATTCTAGCATTCCAATCTAAGTTTCCTATGGAAATAACATAGGAAAAATTACTTTTGTTGTTTATAATTTTATAACTTGGGAGCGAATGAATTAAAAATTATAAATCATACATATTTTTATAGAGAATTTAACGCTCTAGAAAAAAGGTCTCCTATAATTTTTCCATTAGTCTATTGGTTTAAAAGTTATTCAACGCCAAAGTTTAATTTTCATATTATTAGTATTATCAAGGCTTTTTTATGAGGCGCCGTTTGTGTCAAAATTAAAAGTGCTAAATAAACTTATTTTGTTTTATAAATAATTAATTATAGGCTTCACCAAATAATTTTTTTATAAAAAAAAAATTTTAAAATTTTTTTTCTAAAAAATTTTATAAAATAATTTTTTTATAAAATGATTTTTTTTTTAATTATTTTTTTATGAAATAATTCTTTTTATAAAATTATTTTTTTTGATTTTTAGTTTTGTTTTAAGAGAATTGATTTATTTATTTTAATTTGTTTTCAAGAGAATTATTTTATTTATTTATTTTACATTTTAACAAGTGCTTTCTTATAAAAAACGTTTAAACATAAAGAATTCTTGTTAAAAACTAAAAATCAAAATAAATTTAAAAATTAATGAATTCATGAATAAAAATAATAAATTATTATTTTCAATCGTTTCCCCAAATTGCGTCAAACAAAAGCCCAGTCCGTCATAAAATTGTATCTGGGGAGGGGCGTTCTGGTTTTAAACTCGAGTGTCTACAAACAAACAAAAAATTATAAAAAAATAATTTTATAAAAAAATTATTTGGTAAAGCATACATATAATTAATTATTTATAAAACAAAATAAGTTTATTTAGCACTTTTAATTTTGACACAAACGGCGCCTCATAAAAAGGCCTTGATAATATTAATAATAATATGAAAATTAAACTTTGACGTTGAATAACTTTTAAACAAATAGACTAATGGAAAAATTATAAGAGACCTTTTTTGTAGAGCGTTAAATTCTCTATAAAAAATATGTATGATTTATAATTTTTAATTTATTCGTTCCCAAGTTATAAAATTATAAACAACAAAAGTAATTTTTCCTATGTTATTTCCATAGGAAACTTAGATTGGAATGCGCACTATCTTAGAGTTAATATTATAATATTCCCTGAAAATTTGAGCTCTTATAAGAGCTCAAATTTTCAGGGAATTTCTTTTTATTAAATTGGAAGCATTTGAGCCCCTGGGAGCAAAGAAAATAACCCTATTAAGGACCACCCTAATGACCAATAATCATTATTTAATTAAAAACAATTTTTTTGGATCACTTCTCCTTCCAAAACGATTTTAAGTACAAAACACTTTTAAAATAATATTATAATAATAAATGGTTTGTGGGTGAACGGTTTGAGAAATTCTAACTCTAATGTTAAATTGCTTGGAATCTTGTAGGCATACAGGATAAACTCAAGTTTGCCGATAGAGTGGCCGGGTAAAGACAAACCAAACGACGAACCCAGTTGTGGTTTTAATAATGAACTTTGTCCGAAACCGAACACGCATCTAAATAGTATTATAGCTGCAGGAGCGCTGGGCATAGTGTTGTTCTGCGCGTGCGTAATAACTATGAGCATATACCGGAAGTGGAAAATTGAGCAGGAAATAGAGGGTCTGCTGTGGAAAATTGACAAGGACGAGATTCAGACCTGCGTCGACAGAGATATCGTCTCCAGTCCAAGCAAGGTAAGAAATTGTACAAAAACTTTTCTGCAAAATAATCATATATTATATCACGAGAACTATGAATTTAATCGGTTAAACTAGGCTCAGTAGTTTTTTGTTTGGTTTGTGTTGAAAAATGTTGAATGCAAAATAATTTGCGTAGCGGTCGAGGAGTTTTATTTTTAATTATTTTGCATGAAACTATTTTCCTAAAAAGAAAAATCAAATAAAAAACTTACTGAGCATAGGTTGAGTGATATACGTCTATATTATTTCTCGAATTATAGGAAACTATTTGACAATTCATAAAATCTGACGTATGTGTCAAAATTTATAAATATTTTTTTAAAGAAAATTCCATTAATTTAAGGTATGTAATAATAATAATTGATATTTCGTAAACTAGATAACTTATTTTTTATTGTTTTTTAAAAAATGTTTGTTAAAACTTCTAAATAACACCATAAAATCGTAAACAAAAATCCAATATGGAGGCTAAAATTTAATCGCTGTTAAATAGTTCTAGTGATTTAATCGCTTATTTAAACGAAATTTATTCGAAAATTCAAGGCTTTTGATTGGTTCATATTATAATGAGGGAAATAATCATATATTATATCACGAGAACTATAAATTTAATCGGTTAAACTAGGCTCAGTAGTTTTTTGTTTGGTTTTTCTTGGAAAATGATGAATGCAAAATAATTTAATAAAATCACGAGACCGCGTAGCGGTCGAGGGGTTTTATTTTTAATTATTTTGCATGAAACTATTTTCCTAAAAAGAAAAATCAAATGAAAAACTTACTGAGCATAGTTTGACAGATTAAATGTATAGGTTGAGTGATATACGTCTAGATTATTTCTCGAATTAAAGGAAACTATTTGACAATTCATAAAATATGACGTATGTGTCAAAATTTATAAATATTTTTTTAAAGAAAATTCCATTAATTTAAGGTATGTAATAAGTATTAATTGATATTTCGTAAACTAGAAAACCTATTTTTTATTGTTTTTTAAAAAATGTTTGTTAAAACTTTTAAATAACACCATAAAATCGTAAACAAAAATCCAATATGGAGGCTAAAATTTAATCGCTGTTAAATAGTTCTAGTGTATTAATCGCTTATTTAAACGAAATTTATTCGAAAATTCAAGGCTTTTGATTGGTTCATATTATAATGAGGGAAATAATCATTGTAAAAACGAGTTTATACCTATTATTATGAGACCTTTTGAAGATGGAACATGAACACTAAATATTTGGTTAAAAACAATACATTTTTGTATCACGTTCTTTAACTAATAAACTTGTTACGTGGATGTAACTTAATAGTCCTATTGGACAATTTAAAACGTACGTTCGATAAGAAATGCAGTAATGCAGCCTTTAGGAGCATTTATCATGATTTATTTAATCCAACAGTATTTTTATTTTAACGAAGGTTCTACATTTAATTTACAGCGTTCAAATCCATTAAGCGTAGCTACGCGGGCCGACAAAGTAAATCAGGATTAAAATTATTTGTTTTAATAAAAAAGTTTTAAATTTTATTACAAATTGATTTTATTAATATTTTAAATACTTTTTTCTACTCCAACCTTGAAAACGCCCATTATCGTACATGTTTTCATGACACTAAGTGACCTTTTAAATACATTGACAGGTTGTGCCTTTATGGCGTTTTAGTCACGGGCTGAAGATAGCAACAGGTTTTAAGTCAGTTAGTTTTAAGTTAGTTATACAATCGTTAAAATGAAGTGCCTTTCTTGTAAAATAATACTAAATGTGAACATTATTTTATTATCTCAATACAAAAATAGAAAAATATTTAATAGTTTCTTGACGCCAATATTTGAAAGTGCATTAACTAGATTTAACTGATAAAGCGTTAAAAATTTTGCTTACAGTGCCCATACAATATTCTCTTCTATTTTACTGTGAAAATCTGTTTCTATATCGATTGTTGGTCTATTTTTAAGAGATAAATTTTGATTTTAACGCCGGTAGATTCCCAAGTTAGAAATTTTAACGGGAATTCCAATAAATACAACTGTCAATTTTTGTACCTTTAACATTTCCCGTGTAAGAATGTTTAATACTTTGTGATAATATTTTGCTATTATAGTAATAAAAAATTTAAAGGATAAAATATTTACTTAACATAATCATATTTTGAAATTATTTTAATTTTTTAAATTATCAATAATTGTTAAGTTTATTTAAAATAATGACGGACAATGTTAATTACGTCAAAAATGTTTATTGGGATTGTTACTTTAATTTCGTATAGATGTCGCTTTATACAAATATTTAATTTAAATATTTTTTTAGATAAAATTAAGTATTTGTCGTAGTATGCTACTTGTTTATAAAAAATTTTGTACTGTTTACGAATTTTAAGCATCTCCGTAAAACTTATCCTATAGGTATGAAAACAAATTTCAAAAAGTTACAAACTAAACAACTTTATTCCAAAGTGTAAACATATGGGATACATATTTGATAAAACTTTTTTAATATAAAATCTTTCTAAATTGATTTATTCAAAATCTGGTGTAGGTATATGCCTAACTAATATTAATTTTTTTAGTTCATAAAGAAAAAGCGTTTTCACACAGTGGGAAAAATAATTTGTGAATAGCTATTTCCTATTTTTTCTACTTTTTAGCCTAGTAAAATAACGACTGGCTGAATCTTCTATGAAGTCAGTACTGACAACGTTTCCAACAAACACAACCGTAAAGGTTCCATAAGGGCCCTTCATAAATGTGCCTTTAATGAACTAAAGGCTAATTCTAATGAATCTACATATTATGTCGCGTTCACCTTTAATGTGCATGTCAATAAAGGCACAAAAACCATTAGGTACATTTTTTAATATGGCGCGCTAAAGGTTCTGATATGGCAGATTAAAGGTACAAATGTGGCAAGATAAAGTTTTTGACATGGGGTTTTAAAGATTCTATAGTGGTTATTTAAATAATTTTTAATGTATAATTGAAGTATCATTTTATGGTGGATTAAATGTGGTAGGTATATATTTATTAGATAAGAATATTCCACGATAATCAGAAATTGTATCTCCACCGTCACAATACAATTTCTGTCGGTCGGGATAAAAATTTTCGATTATCGTGGAATATCCGACCCAATAAATATAAACAAACCACATTTATTCCACCATGGTTCACCATAATAAATACTTTACTTAATTAATTAATTAATATATTATCATAATATGTAATACTAAAACATTTATAAATTTACAAGAAAAAATACAAAGCATGTGTTGTTATTAATTAAGTAAAGTATAAACTGTTTATTAGGTAATAAATGGAATCCATATTATTTAAATAAATAAAAAAATCCTTAAACTAAATAGAAATAGAAATTAAAATATATATTTACAAATAACTTCACTTGATTTTTTTGGTAGATTGTCCTCCATAACAAAGAAAACCAGTTTGCCATTATTAATTTTTATTTATTTGCAATTGCCCCAATTTTGCCTTTATAAATTAAACCTTTCTACCAAATTCTTTGGCGGTATTAGGTTTATAGTATTTTTTATGTGGTATAACACACTATTAAAACTTTAGGAATTACACTGGCCGTCATTTTACAGCTTTTACCAAAGGATAATTAAAGGTTTATGTAAGTTTTTATTTTCAAAAAACATTTGGCACTTTAATGGTTTTTTAAAGTCCCATTAACTTGATACTGAAAATTGCCATACATGGGTCTTTTATGGTAAAATATACAAATATTAGCCTAAAAAGGGCCATTGACCTTATCACGACAATCGTTTATCAAAATTAATATTTTTATTAAAAGATTTCTGTAAAGGCCCAGTACAAGGAATGTTTTGGCTAAAAATGCCATTATTAAGCCATAACTGTGTAATGGGCCATTACATAATCAGAATTACGTGTTTGCTGGGTAGTAAAATAACGACTGGCTGAATCCTCTATGAAGTCAGTACTGACAACGTCTATGCATTCATGTATACATAAACCCATATTTTATTCGTTTCAGCAAAGTTTAATAAGCGCAATTTCGTACGAATCCAGAGGCGGACAGCAAGTTTTCACGACGACCGCCCAATACAGGGGCGTATGGGTGCGGATTAAAACGTTGACGTTTTCGAGGAAAAAAGACATTTCCAGGGAGGTGATGAAGGAGATGAGGCTGCTCAGAGAACTCAGACACGACAACGTCAATTCATTCATTGGAGCCTGCGTTGAACCCATGTCCGTTTTACTAGTCACTGATTATTGTGCCAAAGGAAGTTTATATGTAAGCAAACACCGAATTACGAATTATTTTTTTTATGTTTGTTTTTTTTCTTCAGGATATTATTGAGAATGAGGAGTTTAAGTTGGATAAAATGTTTATTGCTTCACTAGTTCATGATCTCGTTAAAGTAGGTAAGATCCGTGGAAAACGATAGCAAATTGATGTTATTGTATTCTAGGGCATGTTGTATTTACACAATTCAATGCTGATTTGCCACGGTAATTTGAAATCATCGAATTGCGTTATAACAAGTCGATGGGTGCTACAGGTAACCGATTTTGGTTTGGCTGAAATGCGGCAAAGTGCAGAAAATGATAGTATAGGTGATCATCAGTATTTTAGAAGTAAGAAAACTTTTTTCTGAATACCTATTATAGGAAAATTCGAAATTAAAACTTTTGCAGATTTATTTTGGAAAGCTCCAGAAATATTAAGAGAACCGAATGCTTATATAAAAGGTTCTCAAAAAGGTGATATTTACGCTTTTGCAATTATTGTTTATGAAATTATTGGTAGACGGGGACCATTTGGCGTGATGGGTTACGAACCAAGAGGTAAAGTTCATCGAATTCACAAAAAACATGACAAAGTTAAACCCAAAAATTTTCAGATATAATAGATCTTGTGAAAAAGGAACCAATCGAAGGCGAGGAACAACCGTTCAGGCCCGACATTGACGTCCTACTCGATTCTGAAATAGGCTGTGACAGTTACGTTATACAAGTAATCAAAGAATGCTGGGCCGAAAACCCAGACGAACGACCTGAGTTCGCTACGATCAGAAGCAAACTCAAGAGAATGAAAGACGGAAAGTAAGTTTTTATCGTTTTAGAGTATTAGACAACACACTGTAATTTTAATTTTTAGAAACAAAAATATTATGGACCAAATGATGGACATGATGGTTACCTATGCGAATCATCTAGAAGAATTGGTGGGGGAAAGGACCAGGTTGTTGCATGAAGAGAAGCAAAAAACTGAAGACTTGCTTCACAGAATGTTACCTAAGTAAGTACTAACATTTAATATTAAGTAAGTGATAATTTTGTCGTAAATTGACGCAATTAAATTTTGGAAGTGTAGAAAGTTTATGTTTACCATAACAATTAGATTGTGATGATAACTTAGTTTGGAATGTTTCTGAAATACTTCTAATCAGGACTTTCAGCAATATTACATCAAGAAAACCTTACAAAACATGTATAATTAGATAAAAAAACACTGTTTTTTGAGTTTCATGAAAAAAAATCTATTATCCTCAATGATCAGATGAAAAAAAAATAATTTTCCTGTTTTAAATTTATTCCAATATTATATAAAATAAAAAAATTCCCGAAATTATTTTATTACAACTCGGCCATTTCAAGCGCGCGAAACGCACGAATTGCAAAACTGTTTTTTATAAAAAAAAATTGTAGAATATTTATTATATAATATTTTGGCATCAAAATTTTCAAAAATATTCTTCTTTTGTTAGGTTATACGCAAGAAATATTTTATAAAAGTAGAGATAATTTAAATAATTAAAAAGATTCATCTTGTCCCGTCCACACCTGTCAAATATTGAAATTATCTTGAATAAAATATTTTTTGGAATTTTTTTTTATTTAATGTATAGCTCAATAAAAGATATTTCACAATTTTTATGCAAAAATATTATATAATAAATTCCCTACAATTTTTTTTTATAAAAACGTGTTTGCGATTTGTCCCGTCCGTACGCTTGAAATGGCCGAACTGTTGTTACATTATACTTTGACAGGTTACATTGTCATAATGTAATAATATTATAAAAAACATTACTTACAAATTGTAGGCTACAATAATTGTATTCTATAAGTTTATTATTAGATAAAGTTTGAAATCATTTCTGAAGAAGTTACTGTGTTAGCAAAACCATTGTCAAATTAAATAAAAATAAATTCGTGAAACTTAAAAAAGTGTTTATTTCTTTATCTAGTTATACTTTAGTTTCATCAAGTAAAGGTCGAAACAATAAAAGATTGTAACATGATTTCGGTACTTTCTGAACTATAAATTGCAGAGTGATCAATGGCGGCCCGTTAGGGGAGGCAGGTAAGGCAGTGCCTCATCATAGATAATTAAAGAATTAAGTATAATTTAAATATTTTACTTTCTATAATATGCTATAAATTTTTAATATTTGGATTACATGAATTGTGAAATAGTCAATAAAATTGATTGATTTTATACGTGGAATACCCAGCAACATTTAAATTATTTGAATTTGAAACGACCGCAATTTAAACTAATATTTATAGCTAGATGATTGGCTCAGAAGCATGCCTGAACTAATTTAGACTCACGATTGGCGTTAGCCTTGTTGTCTCGTTCTATTACAATGCGATATCATAGTTGTCTCCTTCTCTCGTATTAGCATACGCGAGGCAGGCACGCCTACATCTAAGGAAATAAGCAGGTGTTGTGGCAACACTGTTCCGGAATTTTAGATAAATTATACACTATACACAATTATAAATTATACACGTTTTTCAAAATTCAATAATAAATGGTATTCCCTGTTGAAAATGACCAGTAGAAACATATAGAATCCGTACAGTGTTTCTATATGTTTTTATAGTTTGTTATATGACACTATGGATTCAATATGTAATCAGTATTATGAACTGTATGTGTTTATATGGTTTTATATGACAGAAATTTATATGAAAATCCATCTTAAATCATATATGAATGAATATGAATTTATAGGTAATAAATTGTATATGGTCAGTTTTTTATATGCCTGTGTAGAAATGAATATGAATATGGTCTTATATGTAATGTCTGTTTCAAAAATCATATAGTATCATATTGGAACCAGCAGGGATTTTTCATATATGATTTTATATGTCATTTACAACAGGGTTATTTTTCTTATAATAAATCGATTTAATCGAAATTATATTTCTATTCTAAAATAAACATATTTTTACACTATCGCCATCTTGTAGCCAATAAAATAAATACAGATTCCTTCTAGGTTTGTTTTGGTTATAAAATTCTGAACTGTTTAAAGAACAAATCTGTGGTTATTTACGCAATATTTTGTTTATTCTTTTTCTATGAGTTTGTCTATTTTATGATTCTTTTGTAAGTGGTTTATTCGGTGGGTTTAGTTAATTGAACTTGGTGATTTATGTGAATTTAGTCATTATGGATATTACGGTGAGAAATTGTACCGATATTGTTGACCTTCACGTGGTTCTTGCTGAACAATGAAATATTAATTAGACAAAAATGAGGTTTATTTAAAATAAATGTCATTTTTACAATAAAATATATTTCATTGAAAAAGTAGAGGATTCCTTCCCCACCACAGTCTAAGTTTTTTACTTAGTTTTAAGTATAGGTTGTGAACTGCGACGTCAGTTTTTTTAAGTTGGGTTTAAAAAAATTTCTTTGCCTTTAAATGAGGGCGAAACCCTGCCTTTGCCTCACCAAAATGAAATGTCACTGGCCGCCACTTAGAGTGATACCGCTACCGCTACCTCTACTGCTACCTCTACAGCTGCCGTAACTACACTCACAGGCAAAATAATCGATCCACAAAAATTTCGATGAATTTCAATCACAAATAACTTTTTTATTTGATTTTGTATTTAAACAAATATTAAAGAATATTGTAGATACATTAATGGAGAATCGCTCACATTTTAAAAATTACTAAAAAATACACGTACGTTTATAATAATATACAGGTTTAAACAAAAATATGTTTTTTACCATAAGTTTAAGACACTCTGTAGAGTGGCAAAACCGTATATTGTTCTAAATTAAGTTTTAATTATCAAGTCACATCTATTTTTAACAGTTTTGTTTTTGGTTCACCTTGATATATTTATTTTTGTGGAAAATATGAATTTTTTTAAAAAACATTGCAATTTCCAATATTTTTCCTGTATGAAGAACTAAGGTTGCTATGGTCCATCCATAGCCTATGGAGGATGACAGTGACAGTTTTGTTGAATCATCCCATACTTGGATATGTCATATACAGCTTTCAAAAGCTATCAAATTGTTTTTTGTAAATTAATGTGTTAATTTTGAGGTGTCTTCTTACTTTTAAAAATGTCTCCGACTGATGTTGCCCTTTGTACTTTACTTCTTATGACGTTTAAAACACTTGCCACGTAATACTATGACCGTCCATCCTGGATTAAATTAATAGCTCTGGCAACATCAGTCGGAGACATATCCATTTTATAAAGTAAGAAGACACCTCAAAATTTAAACATTAATTTGCAAAAAACAATTTGATAGCTTTTGGAAGCCGTGTATGACATGTCCAAGTATGGATGATTCAACAAAACTTTCACTGTCATTCTCCATAGCCTATGAATGGACCATAGTTCTTCATACAGAAAAATATTGGAAATTGCAATGTTTTTTTAAAAAATCCATATTTTCCACAAAAATAAATATATCGAGGTGAACCAAAAACAAAACTGTTAAGAATAGATTTGACTTGATAAATAAAACTTAATTTAGAACAATATACGGTTTTACCACTCTACAGAGTGTCTTAAACTTATGGTAAAAAACATCTTTTTGTTTAGACCTGTATATTATAAACGTACGTCTATTTTTTAGTAATTTTCTAAAATGTGAGCGATTGTCCATTAATTTATCTACAATATTCTTTAATATTCGTTTAAATCCAACATCAAATAAAAAAGTTATTTGCGATTGAAATTCATCGAAAATTTGTGTGGATCGATTATTTTGCCTGTGAGTGTATAAATCCAGCTTAAAGGTCCAACAACATTATTCACAAACATGACGGTTTATTTCAATAGAGTATTTGCATCAAAAATGAAAATCCCTAAAAACATTTTTAATGTAATCTAGAGGTAAAAACACATTGCGAAAATATTTTTTTATATTTCAAAAGTTCAACCCGGCCCCAAAATATCAAATTGAAAAAAGGTACTTTTCAAACGTTCCCGAACTCTCGCCATATTGCATTACGTCATAAATCTACACCAGTGTCAGAAATCAAGATGTCAACAAATAATAAACACCGATAAAGTTTATGTTTAACATGGAAAACGCGAAACCAAAAATTGGTTGTAAATATTGTTTTGTGTCTTGTTGTACAAATACAACCTGGAAAACTCCTGAGAAAGTTGTCTCTTCAATTATCAAAAGCAAAGTTTATGACCCTACACTGAGAGCCGTTACGGCTCAGCCGTATTTCCTTAAGTTTATTATTATTTAACATACCTATTCCAACCATATACCTAGTAAGTAAACGACATTATATTTTGCTTACATTAAAATGATCCTCGCAGCAATAAAATGTTGACTGCGGTGACGATGTTTTGATATCGCGCCGAGCTATTTCAATCCAACTTATCCTTATTTTCCCTTTTGGCACGGTGATAAACCTTTTCCCAGGAGTTTTCCAGGTTGTATTTGTACAACAAGGCACAAAACAAAAATTACAACCATTTTTTGGTTTCGCGTTTTCCATGTTAAACATAAACTTTATCGGTGTTTATTATTTGTTGACGTCTTGATTTCTGACACTGGTGTAGGTTTATGACGTCATGCAATATGGCGGGAGTTTGGGAACGTTTGAAAAGTACCCTTTTTTCAATTTGATATTTTGGGGCCGGGTTGAACTTTTGGAATATAAAAAAATATTTTCGCAATGTGTTTTTACCTCTAGATTAGATTAAAACGGTTTTTAGGGATTTTCATTTTTGATGCAATGGGGTAGTTAAATTTTTTCTGACCTATACTTTTTATGGTTTTATTCAAGGCGTTTTGTAATATTAAACATTTCTGTGAAATCAGAATTTCAATTGAGTTTACCCTTTTCGAGATATTTACAAAAAATATAAATTTTTATGATGTCACAAACCTCGCCATGTGACCAACATTCTAAGATTTCTATTGGTTGAAAATTACCCTGTTGTCAAGTTGTCTTGTTAATGATTTCATTCGGTTATGTCAGAAAATACCCGAAGAGGTTATGTACAAATACTGTCACTATCAGTTGAGTGAAAGATGGTCACCAAATTCATTAAGTACCTATCTTCCTTATTACGAGGTATCATATTACTGTTTGATATTTTAGAGTCCAAGATATATCTAAAAGAATATAAAGAACTAGGCATTATACTAATGAAATGCATTTACGACAAAATATGATTATAATTATAGGTACTTATTTTATTTGTTTAAAAGCTCCAATGTTCAATGTAACCAACCATTCCACAAGATTCCTCTGCTTTGGAGTCCGTTATTAATAAATCACTTATCTAATATCAATTACAAATAACATAACAATAACATTGATTTTCAATAATCTAAATTAAAAAAAAACAACCCAAAAAAAAGAAACGTCAAAAAATCAATTCTTCTTCTTCTTCTCAATTAAAATTATAGATCAAGTGGTTTTAAAACTAAAATATTATAACGTGGCGCCATCTATCGTAAGAATCTTAAACTAAACACACTGGCAACCATAGAAAAAGCTGGCAACGTTGTCAATAGCCTAGTGACGTAATTAGGAGATTTTTTTTTGTAAATATCTCGAAAACGGTAAACTCAATTTAAATTCCGATTTCACAGAAATGTTTAAAATTACAAAACGCCTTGAATAAAACCATAAAAAGTATAGGTCAGAAAAAATTTAACTACTCCATTACAAAAAAAGTTATATCCTTAGGAAATCGAGTGATGGCTTTTGCGTCACCTTGTGCATCTTGTTTTCAGGCCTGTTGCGGAAAGCCTGACGTGCGGCTACGGCGTGGAGCCCGAGGCCTTCGAGCAAGTGACCATCTACTTCAGCGACATCGTCGGGTTTACCGCAATGTCGGCCGAAAGCACGCCGTTCGAGGTCGTCAATTTCCTCAACGACTTGTACACGGTGTTCGATCAGATCATCAAGGGCTACGAGGTGTACAAAGTGGAAACGATCGGAGACGCCTACATGGTGGTCTCCGGGCTGCCGATTCGCAACGGGGAAAGGCACGCCGGCGAAATCGCTTCCATGGCGTTGGAGTTGCTGGCGGCAGTTAACAACTCGAGGATCACGCACAGGCCCAAGGAAACGTTGAAGTTGAGGATCGGCATTCACACAGGTAACAACTTCAACAAAACTAATTTTTCGAACTTTCTTTGCAATTTCCAGCAAATAAAACCGTAAAAGTTCTATAATGGCCCTTTATAAACATGCCTTTAATAAACTGAAGGCCCTATAAGCTAGCTTCAATGGAACTGTACATATAATGTACAGTAGGGTGGGTCATTTATATTGGGAGAAAAAAAATAATTCAATATTTTATCGGGCACAGTCAAAAATTGTCAAATGACGACCATAAATAGCATATAAAATTTTATTATAATTGAAATTCATCTTCTGCCTCCGGAACCAAGTTAAGGAATAAACTTATCATATAAGAAATCACTTTAAATAACTGTACTGTAGTGTGTACATAAATAAAAATACTAATATCGTTTCTTGCCATTTATTAAAAATAAATTATAAATATTGTTAGTTACTTAAGTTAAAGCATAATCAACTGTAATTGTGGACTTACTTTCTGCTTCAGTGTTTGCAGCTTGCAACTGTTGCATAGTTTGGTCTTTGCAATCAGACTTGTTACATTCGGATGTACTACTAAGCTCTTCTTTCGTACATGTTTCATCTATTTTCTGGCGTTTACTTAGAGATTCTTCTCGTTGTAACTTTCTTTTTATTGTTTTCCTGATTTGCGTGGTTGTGGGAACATCTATGCCCCCTATCACCATTTTTCTACAAGTACGTTGGTCTATTAAGAAGCTTTGTTCTCTTATATGTACTTTTTTCTGTTTAGGGCAGGTACATTTAGTAATATCTGGGCACTTGCAGGCCGAAATATCAAACAAAGCTTTGCCTCGTAGTCGGAATTCTTCCAATTTATTGTCTGGTATTTTTGGGTGAGATTTTAAGATGTTTTTGCATTTTAAATGATATGCTTGTAACATAGCTTTCACTCGTTTTTCTTCTACTGTAGGAATAGAGGCTTTATCCCATATTTTTATAAGTTTTGAAACCACAATAATTTCTATTTCTTTATAAGTGGGTTCTTTTTTAGTTTCTTTTAGATGTTTTATATTACGTCGGGTCCACTCATAAAACTTCATGACTTCTGCATAAGTGGGTAATATATTGTCTTTTAAATCACACACATCACCAAATAAGGGACAGTTCCAATTCATACGGGTACTCGTCATACTTGTAGGTTTGTAGGAATATATTAATTAAGCACACTTGATAACGAATCTAAAACGAAATAATTTAATCCATGTTATTAAACATTAGCTTATATATATTGTTTCCCATTTTGTAGGTATAGATTTAACTGTAAATTTTATTACCTTCTTTACAATGTTTTATACCTCTTTAATAATTAATAATTAAGTTATAATATTTGAATTTTTAGTTTTTAATCCAAGATCCAGATTTTTTTACCTCTTTTAATCAGACCACATATAATTTATTTATATACTTAATTCATTATAAAACCTAAATACATCATTTCTCATATAGGGGGTTTTTAAATTGGAATCGTAAAACTAAAAATGACAAAATTTGGCAAAAACAGGTCAAAACATTCCGAATATAAAATATATTTAATGTATGAAATACCTTATCTTTTAATTGAGAAATAAATTCAAAAACATGTATTTATTTTTAAAATTCAATCAAAATCCGGAGGCAGTTAAACTTAACCAAACCCCAAAATAAAAATATGTGTGGAATAACAATACCATTTTGCACCTTTTTTTTACTGTGCCCCTTAAAAAATTTAAAAATGACCCACCCTAATGTATAGGCACTTACAATAACCATTCCATTATTTGATATGGCGCGCTAAAGATTCTGATATGGCAGTTTAAGGGGTCAAATGTGGCAAGCTAAAGTTTCTCATATGCGGTTAAAGATTCCATAGTGGTTATTTAAATAATTTTTATGAATAAATGAAGTATGGTGGGTTAAATGTGGTGGATATATATTTATTATATAAGATCTTCCACGATAATCAGAAATTGTTATTACTACCGTCATAATATCGTCGAATATCCGACCTAATAAATATAAACAAACCACATTTAATCCACGATAATAAAAACTTACCCATTACATACAATACAATATATTATCGTGAAAGATAAGCGGATTTAGGTATGGGCCGTATGGCCCTGGGCCCCGCCCGATCCAGTGCACCCTACGCGGTTAAAGTTAAAAAAAAGTAAAATTTAATCTTGTTAAAATGTCAGCTCCTTATATTTGAGGTTCCTAATAGCGATTTTCTATTTGATATTTAAATAACATGGTAAAAAAATTAACAATAAAATTATATAATTATATAAGTCGATAACGAAACAACGGAATAAAATGATCAGAACAGATATGTTCTGGTCAGTTATAAACGCTCTTTAAAATTTATAATTTTTTGGTTAATCTACTCATTCAAAGTTGGTCAAGCTTAAATGAGAACCCTAGAAGCGAGGGGGGTACAAGTAGGTACATTTTGTTTAGTTTTGAGTAAAAAACTCTTGTAATTTGTAGTCAAAATTGTTTGTTGTTTTATGACTTAGTTTTTTAAGATTCCCAAGCTTAGAATTAGAAAATGTACCATTTACTATATTTTTGTGTACATAAGTACATTTTTTTTAAATTTCACTTGTATCCCGAGTTCGATTTGGACCTTCAAGTGCTGTGCGTCGCTCCATGAAAGTCTGTAAATAGTTAACTTTGACCCAGGAAGGATAAAATGGGGTTCCCGGTATAGAAATATACCGGTATTTCTTGACAACATCGCAAGCTTTGACCTTTCAGCGAGGTATTTTGTGATTTGTGTTTGGCTTCGAGAAGCTCATAGAGGTAAAAACTTGTATCTGGGCAGTAAGAGCCTAATTGGCTCAAGTCCAATTCTCTCGAAAGACTTGTATCGCTTGGTTTCTAGGGTCCTCAAATAGGATTTATAGTTTTTTTCTTACTTTTTATCTAAAACTATCGGATTTACTACAAAATGTCCTAGAACATTTTTGTAGATCTTTTCAATAAAAATATGTTATTTTATAATTTTTAATCCTAGTTTAACAATTACCGGTTTTACAAATTAAAACTTTTGGTTAGAATAACAAATAATTTCAAGAAAATATTACTTTTATTGCAAAAAATTAATTTGTAAAACCAGTAATTTTAAAAAGATCTATGACATTTTGTAAAAAGTCCAATCGTTTTACAGGAAAAGTAAGAAAAACTTAAAATGCACTATACATTTAACTCGCAGCTTTAGTATATTATGTATTAAGTTTGATAAACGCCATTTTAGTCATGAATTTAGTTTAGGCACGGGCGAGCTTAAATTAAATATTTGTATAAAGCGACATCTATATGAAAATTAAGTAACCATCCCAATAAACATTTTTGCTGTAATTTTCACCATTAACATAACCCGTTAATATTTTAATTTTAATTTAAAAAAATTATTGATACTTTAAAATATTAAAATAACTTCAAAATATGATTATGTTAAGAAAATCCTTTGATTTTTTTTATTACTATAATTGCAAAATATTATCACAAAGTATTAAAAATTATTACACGGGAAATGTTAAAGGTAAAAAAAGTGACAATTGTAACTTGGAAATCTACCGGCCTTAAAATCTCAATTTTTTCTGTGTAAATCAAAATTTATCCCTTGATAATAGACTAACAATTAATATAGAAGCAGCTTTTCACAGTAAAAGAGAAGATAATGTTTTATGGGCACTGTACGCAAAATTTTTAACGCTTTATCAGTTAAATCTAGTTAACTGCACTACTAGGGCGAAATCAAAAGATCAGTACAAACGTTCATATTCACTTGATTTTTTTTGGTACTTTGTCCTCTATAACAACGAAAACCAGGTTTTCATTGCCATTATTAATTTCTTTTATTCGCAATTGCCCCAATTTTGACTTTATCAATGCAATAAGAGTTCTAAAATTTGTTAAATTAAAAATGCACTCATTTAAATTTAACAACCATTAGGTATTTTTATTATTTTTTTGTTGTATAACTGACTATTAAAACTATAGGAATTGCGCTGGGCGTCATTTTTAAAATATGCCGTTAACCAAAGGATAATTAAAGTTTTATATACAGAAAACATTTGATACTTCAATGGTTTTTTGAAGTCCCTTGCGGCCTTGAGTTCAAGGTTTATTCACCGTGAATTCACTGTGAATTCACCGTAAATAAACCGTCTGTTTGTGACATTTGTAAACGGTAGTTAGACGGTGAATTCACGCACTTTTCACAGACGGTTTATTCACGGTGAATTCACAGTGAATTCACGGTGAATTCACCGTGAATAAACCGTGAACTCAAGGCCAATGGAACCACTACGGACTTGGCTTTTCAATGTCGTCGTTTATTAAATATGTACTGGTAGTTTATAACTTCCAGAATAACAATATAATGTTTAAGTAGGCAGGTAAATTTATAAACCCTTTAAATTTGACTGTTGAACTTCTGAATTTAGTTTTTGTAAAATAAATGCGCTTCATCAATATTTAAGTATAAACAAATTATTTATTTAATAATGTTTATAAATAAAAAAAACTTAATACTTATTATTAGTTTTTTATTTAATTATTAATATCGTCTATTAGCAACAAAATTACTATTTATTAAAAAGTAAACAACCATTTACAAACAATTAAAATAATTTATTATTTACATTACCACGTGGTACTTGCAACCTTGAGATTACCGTGAATTTGCGGTGTTTTCACAGTCAATTTACGGTGTTTTCACAGTAAACTCACAGCGCTTTTACGGTGAATTCACGGTGATTTCACGATAAATTTACGGTACTTTGACAGTGAATTTGCGGTGATTTTGCAAATTTGAGTTCACCGTGAATTTACCGTGAAATCACCGTGAATTTATCGCAAAAACAGCGTGATTTCACCGTTTAATTACCGTCTACAAATGTCACAAATGGACGGTATATTCACTGCACATAAACGGTGTATTCACGGTGAATTCACCGTAAACTCAAGGCCGCAAGAGGTTCCATTAACTTGATCCTGAAAATTGCCATATGGGTCTTTTATGGTAAAATATACCAATATTAGCCTAAAAAGGGCCATTATCAAAATTAATATTTGCTAAAAATGCCAGTATTAAGCCATGATACTACCCAAGTAGCACAAACGGTTAAATAACTAGTATTATAAGTAAATTAACCGAAATCTAAGTTAAATGACGTTTTTTTTAACTTGGGTTTTTAACCAATTAATTGAATTATCCAATTAGTTTTTTTTACGGTTATTATAAACTAAAAAAAAACCTTTAAATTAACCAACTAGTTGCTATTACTTAAGAGTTAATTTAAAAGTTATTTTAAAAATAATATTTTTTACTATAATTTAACTTTAAAACTAACTGATGAGTGAAACAATACCAAGTTAAATAAATGGTTAATTTTTAGTTAATTGTAACTTTTAAAATAACCTTAATTTACCTTAGTTAATAAGTAGGTTATTTTAGAAGTTATATAACGTTATATTAACTTAAATTTTAACCAATAAAACTGGTAAAGAGTAGTTAATTTTCTTGTTATATTTTGGTTCATTTTAACTATAAATTGAACCTTTTGGTAAGTTAACCACAGTTTTGGTTAATTTGAGTATATTTTTTAACCAACAAGTTGCATTTTACCAAATGTATTTTAACTAAATGGTAAATTAACGTTAATCAACCAACTCGTTAAAAAAGTGATGGTTTTGCAGTTTTCATTGTTACCTACATAGAAAAATAATACCAGTTGGCTTTGTGTTTTGTGTGCTTATTCTTGGGTTTTATTTCTTATTCATTTAATTATTTCTGTGTTCTTATTATAGTGTTATAATGAAAATTTTAACTATAATGTGTTAAATGTAACCAAATTGAAACCAAAACCAAAGAGTTATAAATTACTGATGGGTAAATAAAGTAGTTAACTTAAACAAGGAAATAACTAAATGGTTTAAATAAACTTGCAGGTTAATTTATATTGGTTAAATAACCAATTAGTAAAAGCATCCTATAATCGCCATATTGCTTGCTGTTCATTTTACAAAAGGAAATGCCATTAATTTTTGATTTTTATGTCAAAAATGTGGTAATTTAAATAAACCAATAATAAAAAATATTATTATATTATGTTTGAAAGTATTTTAAATCAATTTTAAGTAAAATAAAAAATAAATAAGCAAAAAAATTATTTTTTTTTTAGTTTTTATTTTTTTTATTTCTTATTCTTTTTTGAGCGCGTTTAAAATATAAAAGTATTATGAGCCATTTCATCAGAAAAAAAAATGCCCCATTGGTTTTTCTCCTAGAACTACCTCTTTTAAATATTAAAATGAAGATATTAATATTCAGGGGAGACATTTTATTTAAAATCTTAACTCATAGATCTATGCATACTTGGTGTAGTATAATATACCTACTTGGTAAATCATAATTATATTAAGTTAAAATAAACTTAAAATGGTTGGTTTTTTCACTTTAGTTTAGGTTGACTAAAGAGTTAAAAAGCAGTCAAGAAAGGGTAAAATTAACCAAAAATTACCAAATATTAATTTTTTTTAACCGACAGGTATATTAACCAAGAGGTTAAATTTACTTAACATAACGTTAAATTAACCATGATTTTTATTCCCCACTTATTACAAAATAACGTTAATTTAAGGTTAATTTAACGTTATAGTACAATATAACTTAAGTAAATTAACCAGAAAGAACGTAAATTTAACGTTAATTTAACCAGTTGTGCTACTTGGGTATGTAATGGGCCATAACAATCAGACTTATGTATTGCTGGGTTACTTTAGGGCCCGTGGTCGCTGGGGTGGTAGGCCTGACGATGCCGCGTTACTGCCTGTTCGGCGACACCGTGAACACTGCGTCGAGAATGGAAAGTAACGGGGAACCCCTTAAAATACACATAAGCGTGCAATGCAAGGACGCTTTGGATAAGTTGGGAGGATACATAATTGAAGAGAGAGGCTTGGTGTACATGAAGGGTAAAGGGGAGGTGTTGACGTATTGGTTGACGGGCGCCACTGAGATGGCGATTCAGAAACGCGAAGTGGAGTTGGGGCAGGATCCGCCGCTGTTCTGTCGGCCACGGAAAAGCCCGAAGTTGTACAACGATAGCCGACAGCCGTCGATTTGCGGCGGTTTCGGCGGCATGAATAGCCGACGGCATTCGAGCGTCCCGAGAGGTAAGAATATGTTCATTTGTTATTTGTACATTATATTACGATATATTGTATTAATAATGCATTTCTTTAAATTCAGGGAATGCACATTTATTTATTTTATGTAGTTTTTTATCATTTCGCATTTTAATTTAGTTTTGGTAGATGCTTTCCACTTTGGTTTAATTTTAATTTGGTGATGGTTTCACGCAGTATTAATTTTCTGTACCTATGTAGATGTAGACGTTATGGTTTTGTTCTAAAAAATGATGGCTTAAAAACTTAACATATGTTGTGAATACTTAAAATATTTTAAGTATTCACTTTCATAGAATTTAATACCTATAAAATCAGAATGGTTTTGGCAGTCTTAATATTGACTTTGTTTTGGAATAAGTGCCCTATTTAAGAATAACAGATATTTTATGCTTAAAGATATCATTGCAGCTTTATTCGTTTTATGCGAGTTTAGTATTAAAATTATAATTAAGACAAAATTCATCCCGATGCTTTGGCATTTAAAGAAAAAAATCTACAAAGATATATATATATATATATATATATTAGGGTGTTTCAAAAAAATCGACTTTTTCTTTTTCTTCAAATGGTCGGCAAATTCTTTCAGAGGATGTCAACACAAAGACCTCGTCAAAATTTGAGCTTTTAATTTGAAGATTTAGAGGTCTCGGATCGCAATTTTCTATTTTCCATTTAAATAACATGGGAATTTTTTTTTAACTTTGAAATTTTATACGTCTGAATCGAATCAACTTATGTCAAGGATCATCTTAGATTTTCATAGTAAATTTAACGCTCTACAAAAAAGGTCTCCTAACATTTTTCTATAAATTGATTCCTTACAGAGTTATTCGAGGGCAAAGTTTGATTTCCATCGAATTTTCGCGTTTTTTTAACATTTTTGGTACAATTATCATTATACGGGTGTCCCGAAATTAGGTGGCCAAACTTAAACAGTGCATTATTCGTATAAAAATAACACTTTTTTTGTTTAATAAACATGTATCAAAAAATGCTCCCTAAAGTAGCTACGGCCCCCTGAATAATTTTAGAGGATAATTTTTTTAAAACTATTCCTAGAGGGTTGAACATGAACAAATGAATTTTCGGTACTTTGGTAATTTTGACATGCTGAATCTAGATCTATGATCAAAACTGTTAAAATTTAATCATAGGCGTAACATTTGGAGGGGGCAAAGTTACAAAAAAAGCCCCAACTTTTTTCTGGGTTAATAATTTAATTTTTTTTATGAAATTATGAGAATTTATAGTTTTTTACGAAAAATAGGTACTCTTGATTTGAATTGCTCAGATGCACCATTTTCGAGAAAAATGCATTTATATATAAATTACTCTGCATATTATACACATCTCATATTTTCATTAAAACTTTGTAGTAGGCTTTGGAAAAAAGTGACGTTTTTTTGTTTTTTTTTACAACACTTCCTATGTTTCAGATTTAAATATGTGATTTTTTTACTACATGATGCTAAAAGTTGAAAAAACGAGAAAATTCGATGGAAATCAAACTTTGGCCTCGAATAACTCTGGAAGAAATCAATTTATAGAAAAATTATAAGAGACATTTTTTATAGAGCGTTAAATTTACTATAAAAATCTAAGATGTTCCTTGCCATAAGTTGATTCGATATAGACGTATAAAATTCCAAAGTTAAAAAAAAAATTTGCTATGTTATTTAAATGGGAAATAGAAAATTGCGATCCGCGACCTCTAAATCTTCAAATTAAAAGCTCAAATTTTAACGAGGTCTTTGTTTTGACATCCTCTGAAAGAATTTGCTGACCATTTGAAGAAAAAGAAAAAGTCGATTTTTTTGAAACACCCTAATATATATATATAGGGTGTTTCACATTCGTGGTCCCGAAGTTTCTGGGAAACGAAAACAGATATCGATTTAAAATTTTACAAGGGTTAATAATCCATTAAAGTTTTTTTAAATATTTTTAAACAAAATTCCACTTCCGGTTTAAACGGAAGTGACATTAACTTTGTTATTTCCAATAGAACACCCCATATATTTTTTCATTTTTTTCTGTATAAAATTCTGAATAAAATTACTATACCATGTCCTATACCTAAAGTAAATAGTTTTCGAGTTATTCATTTTTTTCGTTAAAATTTGACAAATGCGTGTCAATCATAAATATCATATAACTTTTTTGTTATTAGGTTTGCGGATATGGCGGTGGAATTTTTGGAATCTTAAAACATTGTTTAAAAGATTCCATGTCAATTCTTTAATACTTTTCAACAAAATAACCTAAGAAAACCCAGGGCAAATTAGGCTAACTTGAAAGGTTAATAACTTTTTTATTTTAAATGTAAAACCCGGTATGTTTTCATAATCAAATAGTAAATTAAAAAACCTTTTGATTGAAGTTATTAATTTCGGGGATATTTAACAATTTCTAAAATATTATTTTGTAACAAGAAAACTGTTACGGTATCTATGGTTACCACGTAATCTGTCATTGTTCAAAATTAAATGGCGAACATTTTTCAGGTTGTTATAAACAATTTGAGTGACTTGAATTGAGAATCCAAACATTTTAAAAATTTAAAAGTTATTCAAAGAGTATATGCTAATTTTAAATAAAACTCAACAAAGCTGTAGGATGTCAACTAGACATAGCACTAGCTCATTGGAGACAATAAAGTCTAAAATTTATTTTATGAAATATTTTAATAGCAAAAAGAATACGTAACTGTTACAATTTAATAAACCAACAATATTTTAATGAACATTTTTTATTACTAATTTATTAGTAAATGTTTAAAGTCCTCCATTTACAATCAAGCATTTAATTCTTACATTAGACGTTGCTCTTCTTGACTAAAATATTGTTGGTTTATTAAATTTTTACAGTTATAACAACCTAAAAAAATGACGCCATTAAATTTTGAACAATGACAGATTACGTGGTAACCATATATAACGTCAATTCATCCGTCACAGGTTTCTTATTACAAAATAATATTTGAAATTTTAGAAATTGTTAAATACCTATCTCTTATTATGAACTTTAAACGCGAAAATTTTAAGTTGTTTTTTTTTCATGGAAGCGTTTTCGAGATATGAATTTTCAATTGTTTTTTTTTTTTAATTTTCTGAGGTGTTTTGACGTTGTAGAGAATACTTCGAGTTCTAATTGATCGATTTAACCAAACAAGCACTTAAATCAAAGGTAATTGAGCCCTTTACAACTTTATTTTGCATTGGTATCGGCTCAGTAGTTCGATACTGGCGATGTTATGAAGTTGAAAAAGTCCTTTTTTTTTACAAAAATCGAGGTCGAAAATTTACATATCTTTCTGGAAATATAGAAATTCCATGGATAAATGGTGAAGTTATGAATTTTTTACTGGAAGAGCAAAATTCAGTTTTTCGACAATTTTTACATTTTTTCTTCATTTTATTGAATTATATAAAATTTAATATTGAACATTTTTTTTATTTTATTAGTAAATAAAGTTGATGGTTTTTTAGTAAATAAAACCATGATAAAAATACCTTGTTGAAATATTACAAAATAAAATAAAAATCGTCAAAAAGCTATATTTTGGTCTTCCACTAAAAATTTATAACTTCGCTATTTTTCCATGTATTTTTATCAACATTAATTAATTAGCTTGTTTATTTTGTAAAAATGTCAACTTCGTGAAAAAAAAATCAAACTGCAGTTATCTGTTTGATTTAAACCCTTCCCAGGACGATATGTAAATTTTCGACCTCAATATTTGCCATAAAAACGAATTTTTAAGTTATTAAAATCGCTAGCGTCAAATTTGACTTTTGATATCGGATAAGTATTTAAATACTTATCCGATATCAAAAGTATGTAAAATAAAGTTTTAGAGGGCTCAAATACCTTCAATTTAAGGGCTTATTTGACCAAATCGATCAATTAGATTTCAAGCTATACTCAAAAACGTCAAAACAACTCAGAAAATTGAAAAAAAAACAATATTTTAAAAACGCTTCCATAAAAAAAATTAAGTGTGATTTTCGTGGTTCAAAATAGATGGAATTTTTTCTCGATTTTGTAAACTGGTGAAATAAGAGAGATATGGTAAGAAATGTAAAATTCTTGCATAACTGGATTATACGGTTTTTTTGGTATTTAACGATTATTTTATAAAAAAAAATTAATTTACATTTACATATGTAACTATTTTTTATTGACGCGCATATGTCAAATTTTAACGAAAAAAATTAATAAATCGAAAACTACCACATGGTATTGTAATTTTATTCAGAATTTTATACAGAAAAAAAATGTAAATATATATGGGGTCTATGTCTATATAATATTAATATATTATGTCCAAAATATTTTTATTAAATACACTTAAATGGATTATAAACGCTTTTAAAATATAATTCGATATCTTTTTCCGTTTTTCGGAAGAGAACATTTATTATATGTCGCTCTCCAAGCAAAATATTGATGTACATATTTATGTACAATGTACAATTATAATATCATTTAAACTATTTTTCTAAATTATTTTGAACAAAATTCCTTTTCCGGTTTTAACGGAAGCGATATCAACTTTGTTATTTTAAATGGATCACCACATTTTTTTTTACAATTTCAAAATCTTACCATCATTCCTTATAAAATGGCTGTATCATGTCCTATACCTAAACTTAATACTTTTTGAGTTATTAATTTTTCTTGTAAAATTTGGTCAGTTTCACCCTCAACAAAAAAAGCTTATAACTTTTTTAATATAAGGTTTGTTGATATTCGGTTGGATTTATTGAAATCCTAAAGCACTGTTTTAAAGATTCCATGTAAATTATTGTAATATTTCTAAAAAGATACTTGTAAAAAAACAATGTGAATGTAGCTAACTTAAAACAGCAATAACTTTTTTATTCTCAATGGAACGCCCTGTATATTTTTACATAATTAAATATGAAATTATAATACCTTTTCATTGATATAACTATTCCCTATACCTAAAGTTAATATTAAGGAAGATATTTTACAATTAACCTAATAATATGAAGAAAAACTAAAAAAATATTGCTTATGTGTATTAATTTGGTATGAATTACAAAACTTTCCCGATATTTATTATTATTAAAATAAAGGAAAAACTACTCAAAAGAAGTTGAAAATATTTATGCTTAATGGATAACCAAATTAAAGGTACAACATACAAAAAGTTTCTGCATTTTCTATCAAGTTTGTCATATTGTCAATGAAGAATAAACAAGTTCATAAAAACTTTATTTGAATAGTGATTTTCCTCCATTTTAACTATTTTATCAACAATTTTTGTTAATTTAAAACATTACTTTTATTTAATTAATGTATTTCTAACCTTATTAGTAAATAATAATATATCTTTTAATGAAGGTTCTATATCTCAAAAACTGTTCTACTTTTTTAACTTTTGGATTCAGGGGACAATTTTACATAATTATGTAAGAATTGACTATTAAATTTTGGGTACAAGTGAAAAAGCAGCCACTACCCAGCTAACAAAATTGATTATGTAAGTGTTGTTAGAACTGCTATACAACACATATTATAGAAACGCTAAAATTGTATAATGCGTTTAAAAACTACTATACAACACTTACTCAACCAAAAAGGGCCCCGTTTTATAAAACAGTTTACTTCGTTAGCAGTTATATAAATACACTACACAACCCTTATAAAACTCAGTATCAGTATACTGGGGAACTGCTATACGATTATACTATAGCGGTTTTACTCTGCAGCTTAATTGCATTTTACGAATATTTATAGAATATTAAAACAAGCATTTTATAAGTATGTTATAATGCGACAGAATCGTTATAGGAACATCAATTTGTTTCCTTCTCTAGAAATTAGGAATGGAGTGGGAAATTTTTATCCTAAAAATATTTTATAATGCGAATTATGTTGGATGTCAAACGGCTAAGATCCAAAATGGTGCTTGTTGTTTATTATGTAAATATAATTATTAAACCTTTGAGATTTACGCTATCGAGGACAACATCTTCCTGCGGAGCAATATTTTCTGACAATATATGTATATATTTTTAACGAAAAATTAAAGCGCCAGTTAACAAACATACCTACTAAAAATTATTTAAAAAAAAAATTAATTTTTTATTTGACAAAGTTTCATGTTTTTTAAGAATATTATTGTTTTATTTGTTCAGTTTATAATTGACTAGTCTTAAGATTACATTAATTTTTTTCAAGAAAATTCATTTTTAATTGACAGTTTTAACGTTTGTTGGTAAAATTCACACAATGGCGGCGATTTATAAACAATTGATCGGTCAATAAATATGGCGTTTTTGTTATAAAATGGTTTTGTCTTTATAAAAACGTTATACAATTTATCTGCTCTGTCGCGTGCGTTATACGATATTTAGGTTCTGTAAAGTTGTTTAATACAGGCGCTATAAAAGTAAAGCAAGAAACTGACATTTGAGATGTTGCCAGATTTTATCTGTATTTTTCAAATTATTTGTTTTTTTTAGAATAAAATACTCATTTTTGGTGCAGTTAGGTACATCAAGTAAAATTTTATTTATCCTGCACGACGTTACCTTCATTTTTTATGCAAATAAGGATTTGTAGGTAACACTGCTGCCTAAAATAACAACCCTGTAAGTTCATTTTTCGTATTGGCTATAGAACAATAATATCGCTTAAGGTATGCATTGTACCGCACTATACAATTGTGTTCTGTTTTATCCACTTTTTAGCGGTACCTTCTTTATCTACATGTAACCTAACCTATCGATTGTAAAAGAATTTGGAGTTGGTGCCTCAACTAAATGTTGAATAGAATTTTCTATTGCGGCAGTACTTCCAGAAGACTGAATCATTCTCTGATAATTTTTTTTGCTCTTCTTTTAAAATGCCCACTTTTCTTAATTTTTTTCCATTGCGACTCCATTTTAAAAAAATACTTAACTTATTTTTGCGTAATAAGACACTAAATGTATAAACAGACTTAAGTAATAAAATTATAACGCAGAACTTGCGATAATTTTATTTTATAAACTTTCTATAAAGAAGTTAATCGGTGTAGTTATAGGATAATTATAAAATAACTTTATACTTATTGTGTAGTGTGTTTACTTCTGCTTAAAAAAACAATTTTTTAATGTATCTTATAGAGCTTCAATACAACTTTTATACCAATTCTATTACAACTATCATAAAACGTTGAAACTACAAGTATAAGAATAGGTATACAACTCTATTATAACTTTTATACAACTCTTTTAAAATAATTTTATAAGGGATTGTATAAAACGTTATACAATGGTTAAAAAATGTGTATGAGTTTGGTTCTATAACACGAGTTGTAAGAATATATATACAATAATGTATTAGAATTTCGTCGTTTTTACGATAAAATTATTGTATTAAGACGCATTAAACAATAAAAATGTTCTTTTTGCAGCTCTAGACGATAGTTATAAAACAATTCAGTTCTTTAAGGGATTTATTTTGCTAGTTGGGTAATAACTATTAAATTAGTCATTTTTGACTAATTCATTTTTAGAGAGTGCTTTTATTTACAAAGACCGAAAAAAATATTGTTCTTATTAATATTATTTTTTGTCATATGATTTTTGAAACTCATTCGTAGATTCCACTTGTATTGTTTATTAATTTAAAACTAATATTTAAAATACATAATAAATAGTAGGTATTGTAAAATATCTTTGTTATTCTTAACTTTAGGTATAGGGAATAGTTATACCAATGAAAAGGTATTATAATTTCATATTTAATTATGTAAAAATATACAGGGCGTTCCATTGAAAATAAAAAAGTAATTGCTGTTTTAAGTTAGCTACATTCACATTGTTTTTTATCAAGTATCTTTTTAAAAATATTAAAATAAATTACATGGAATCTTTAAAAGAATTCTTCAGGATTCCAATAAATCCAACCGAATATCAGCAAACCTAATAATAAAAAAGTTATAAGCTCTTTTTGTTGAAGGTGAAACTGACCGAATTTTACAAAAAAAATTAATAACTCAAAAACTATTAAGTTTAGGTATAGGACATGGTATAGCCATTTTACAAGGAATGATGGTAGGAATTTAGAAATGTAAAAAAAATTGGGATGATCCATTTAAAATAACAAAGTTGATGTCGCTTCCGTTAAAACCGGAAGAGGTATTTTGTTCAAAATAATTTAGAAAAATAGTTTAAATGATATTATAATTGCTATAAAAATTTCAATTCGAAATCTTTTGCCGTTCTCCATAAACGTCTAACCTACCATCAACCGTGTTACACCCTGTATATACATATGTACATTGTACATACCTACATATCGAAAAAAAATGCCCTTAAAGTTTCAGCCCTTATCCTACTCCTGTTATTAGATCATGAAAATGAAAAAATCAAACTGGAGTTATATGTTTGATTTAAACCCATTTTTGCCATAAAAACGAATTTTTTAAGTTATGAAAATCGCTAGCGTCAAAATACTTATCCGATATCAAAAGTATGTAAAAGAAAGATTTAGAGGGCTCAAATACCTTCAATTTAAGGGCTTGTTTGACCAAATCGATCAATTAGATTTTAAGCGATACTCAAAAACGTCAAAACACCTCCGAAAATTGAAAAAAAAACAATTGAAAATTCATATTTTAAAAACGCTTCCATAAAAAAAGAGTGTGATTTTCAATTTTGTAAACTAGTGAAATAAGAGGGATATGGTAAGAAATGTAAAATTCATGGATAACTGGATTAAACGGTTTTTTTGGTATTTAACGATTATTTTATAAAAAAAAATATTACAGGTCTCACATTATTTTAAAGGAAATTTAAAGCTTTATTACATAAAAACAAAAATCTGTTATTCTTAAAACTTAATTAAGAACACCTTTCAACATAATGCACCAACCAAAACCTGCACAAATAAACAAACCATAACTATTTTCCGTCGAACAGGAACCAGTATAGAAGTGGAAAGCACGTCTACGTTGCAAAACTCGAGCCCGGTGCCGTCGCGGCACTTAAAAGTCAACCGTCAACACAATTTGCACGTTCCAGACGCGGTGGGCTCCAAAACGACCATAAACACCGCGTTCGGCAGTCAGTTGATCGAGGTGCCGGAAGAGTCGAGAAAGCCGAGGAAGAGGCGCATGCTGAGCAGCATCGCGTCCAGCACGGACGAGTACAACAAAAGTGCGACCGAGTACAACGCGAACCGCGTCAGGGAGTCCAAGTCGCTGGACCCGCTGCCGCTCGCGAAAATCAAGCTGCTGGAGATACGGCCGACGCCCGAACTGCGCAGGTCCACCAGGTCGCTGGAGAATTGTGATAAGTGCGGCGACGTTCAGATATTCGCCATACCGGAAGACAAACTTTTGAACAATAACTTTCCGAACGGTAACTTGTCGAGGCACGACGACGACGTTGAAGTACCTTTACTGGACCAACGTCAGCTGAACACCGCCATTGTTAGACGGAGAGGTGGCAGCACCATGAACGATAGTCTGGATAGCGACAATCTCAAAAAGTAAGTAAGCTTTGCTGCTAAAGTTTCCTTTGATTTTTATATTAGTTTGCTTGTTTTACATCAGTTTTATGTATCTACACCAACTTAATCCAAGTCTGAAAAAAAACAAAAAATAACTATCTTGGGGTTCAATATTTTTCCCATCGCCAATGCTGATTCAAAAAAGTGGTAAAAACTCATTTTTAAAACGATAAAGAAGTGATAGGTAAAAAAATTAAATGCTCTACAAAAAAGGTTTCATATGGTTTTTTATAAAATTATCCATGCAAAAGATACCTTAGGTCAAAGTTTAGAAACAAAATATTTTTTTTTAATTTTATAATTTGTAAATAGTAATAGGATTTTAAAATGAGTCGGGTGTGCCAGAACTCGCGCCATAGAGAAAGAGCAAACGTGCCGAAAGTAATGCGAAACACATACTTGAAAATTAAAATTATCTAACGCAAATAATAAGTGAAATAAGAATAAAAAACGATAGCCAATCCCAATAGGAATAGAGAATTCTTTAAATCGCTAGTAGCGCCACCACTCGGCTGTTATCATCTTAACAAAAGTACTACTTTTGATAATCAGCTGTCAAACGCGTGTGTTACAAACGAGTGTTTTTGAGAATAAAGCCTAAATTTAGCATTATTAAAAGCGTTGATTAAGAATTCTTTAAAGTCTCCACTCAACGGTAAAATAACATTATATTATGTATTATATAAAATATTATGTTTCCATAAATTCGTAGGTTTTTAGAGAACTCAAATATAAAAATGGTTGATTTTAAGGTTATGTTTGTGCACAAATTATTTTTCACTAATTTCTTAAAAATGTCCAAACTTAAATATAAATTATATTAAGTTAAGTTATAATTAGTTAATTCTGCACCAACAAATGTACTTACCGAATTGGATCCTTTGACAAAACATGAAAATGCAACGATTTAGTTCTTTAATTTTATTTACAATTAAAAACACAATAATTCACCATCATCCCTTAGATAAAATACACACACTAACGTAACTATATAAGCATTTAAGGGTTGAGTTTTTTAATCAATGATACAAAAAATAATCATTCGAAATCGAGTACTAAACCAGTTTTTTAGTTTTTTCCTTGCAACGTAAAACACAAATAACGTGCGCGATTTAGCTGAGCAATTGAACAAAATTTGTCGAGTAAGACTTGTGCCTTCCTCTCTTTTGTGAAAAAACTACCAATTTATTTAAAAATGATGTACAGGGTGATCCCCTATAATGTCGCCCACCTTTAACTTTTTTATTTTAAGTGTCCGAAAAAATTTTAAAGTGTGGTTATGTAGGTACTAAAAATTCTTTTTTTCTACATATAAAGAAAATTGGAAAATTGATCAGTATACAGGGAAAAACAAAAAGTTTATTTTTTTTAATGGATCACCCTATATATGAATTTATTTTTCGATTCCTTGTAAAATTCTAAGCATATTTCATATAACATACCATATACCTAAATTCAACCGTTTCTGAAATATTTAAATTATTTTTAAGATAATAAGTTGAAATAGTTTGTCTTTCTCTGTCTGAGTAGGCCATTTTTACTTATTTAACAAGACATGTTGATATAATGTCACTATAATAATTCATTTTCAATAAAAATTTTGGTATACTGAGGCTTCTTGATTTCTAACAGTTTAAAAAAACATTTAATGATAACATTTCGAATGCGAATATTTCAGAAACAGTTGAATTTAGGATATAGATTGTTATATGAATTATGCTCAGAATTTTACAAGGAATCGAAAAATAAATTCATATATAGAGTGATCAATTGAAAAAAAATAAACTTTTTGTTTTTCCCTGTATATTGATCAATTTTTTTTAATACGTAGAAAAATAGTATATTACACTACAAGGGCAGAATTCCTGCACAGTTCTGCCCGTGTAGTGTATACTATTTTTCTTACTACCTCGGCCGAAAATACAACCCGGCCGAAAATACGGGAAAAAATGAAATGTGTATATCGAAACATATTGATGCCTGCCCAAATTTTGAGGTTATATTAGTGTCGTAATCAGAGTTGCATATGTTGAGCACACGACTAAAAAATTTTTACTCCCGCTATTATAGAGTGTGCGCGTATAGCTTGACCAATATGCATCAAACGTAAACTTTCTGCCGTGGAATCTGGGACGAAACAACGTATTTTCAGTCGAGGTAGTAAGAAAAAGAAGTTTTCTTTGGTTCTTTCTATTAGATAATCGCGCGCGCGGAATAATAATAAGTTTTGTTTAATATAAAGTATATCCCGTATGGTCTAGTGGTTAGCATACTGTAGAACAGGGCGTACTATTTTTGGGGTTTTTTTTCCAATTTTGAATCGGTAATGTTTGTTATTTTAAACTAATTTTTTTACAGGGGGTTTTGGCATCCTTCCGGTATAAGTTTACGTAAAAATAATAATAGTTATAAAAATACTAATACAACTTTTTTTGTCAAAGTAATCGAAGCTAGCCCATTTAGGCGCGACTTTAGACAGGAATATTGCTTTAAAAAAATATAAAGCATAAAATTTAGAAAAAAAGCATGAAATTAGGAAAAAACTCATTCAGATGGAAAAATACATTTTATTTATCAAAATATAAAATAAAATATAATTCTAAGGATCAAAACAATAAAATAAATTGCTTCTTGTACCTACTACTAGTATATTAAAAAATATTGTCCTCCGTATAGTTTCTGTAAACATTCCTCTCCAAGGTTTTTTATAGACCCTAACCATGTCTGAAGTTGCCCTTAAAATGCAAATATTTTTATTACAACATGGTAAAAAAGCTAATGTGATACAAACGTAAACCAAAAAAAAAATGTATCAACAACATTACATACTGCCAAAAATTATTTTGATCATACACTTGCTGGCACCAGTTACTTTCACCAAGTTATAAAAGAAGTAAAGTTTGAACTCCAGGCTAAACGACGCAAAAAGCTTATTTCACTTAACAACCGAACCCACGTGCCGCTTGCCATAACTTTAGCTATATTCTACGAAGTTTTTGCCCGAATTACAGAACTCTGTTTCTTCAGACCCCCCATCGTGAATTTTTAATAACTATGATGTCCGAAATCGACCCGTTTTACGGTTCCTTTCTCTTAATATTGCAAGGGTTTCCCCTAAATAATTCATTGATATAAATAGGGCTAAATTAATATCAGTTTTACTGCCTTTTAGTCCTTTTTATTGTCGATTATACTAGTAAATAAGTTATTTTATGTATTCTTGTAAATCTGTTAATATTGACAATAAATAAACAATTTATTATTATTATTATATTGCAATATATTTATTAATATTAATATTAAATTGAAATTTTGAATTACCCTAATACAGAAGTATACTAAAAAATACAAATTCCACAGATGGCGGTCATTGGAGTCTGTACCCGCTTCCTGTGATCCCCACCTAAACAAAAAGAAGTCGGTGAAGAGTTGGATAACGGAGTTCTTTAAAGGAAACGGCGTCAGGTCGAGTAATACGTCACTGAGAAGGGCCGTTATTAACGAGTACAACAATCTACAGCCAGAATCTGAGAGTATTGTCTAGATGAATTATATTAAATTGTTTAAATGTTTTAGTCGTCGAAAGGGTGTAATATTTATACACAAAATAATATTTTTGGGGATTCATGATAAAATAAACGTTACTTAATAGTGAACTTAAATATTACACCTAATAGTTATTACTCAGTGTAATGAATTAAGTAAGTAAAGAAATATTAAATGTAAAACACTAGTCTAAATAGTTAGAATAAATGTTAAATAAAAATTAAAGAAGTCATAAGTAAGTATATATTTTTTCGTGATATAGACTTGAAATATTTTTTTTATTTTTGACTATGTATGTAATTTCGCATTTTCATTGATGTCCCTTGTAAAGAAAGGAAATTAAGTCTTAATACTGTATTAAATGTAAATGCCATATTTTGGAGAACTATATTAATTAGTTGGACCTTAAAATTTGAGTTTTGACCCACGAAAATATTTCGCTAAATGTGTCGGTAAAACTCATTTTTTGACTTGTATGGGAGGATAATATCCTGTATACAGTAAATTACTAGAAGTTATAGTTTGATTCAAAAATTTAGAATAAAACTACTGAAAAAATTGTATAAATAGTAATTCAAAGTTTATTATATAAAATAGGTACGAAAATTTCAAAATATGTTTTTTAACATGTCTTTTTATTTATTAAATTATTTATGTATTTTATCCCAAATTAAAACTAAATTTATTTTTTTCTCGTTAAAATATTTTTAATTTTCGTACAAAATTGTTACCATTTTAGCAAAAAAAGTTTTGTTTCATATTTCAACATTTGCAGGAATATAAATGTTTAAGAATTTAAAGCTTACCATCCACCCAAATACTTTAAATACCTACGGAAATTTTATTTTTTTTTAAATTTATTAAAGGTTACTTCTAGATAATAAAAACAGCAACTCAAGAAATGTTCATAGCAAAAATTGATCAGGCAGTAAATTTTAAGCGATATTTTATGGATGGGTAAAGTCAGAATTGTGTTTGAAGGCTGTGAATATTATCTATAATTGTAAATAAATATAGACTATTATGTTTTCCTTTCACATATATTATAGATGTGCCATTAACTTACAAAGTTGTTGTATGTAAAATTCACATGTAAATGTAAATATGTTATACTTAGTAGGTATTGTTTGATAATACACATTTATTTATTAGTGCAGACTTTTATTTCTCCACCCTGTAAAATGTTCTTCACATAAAATCAAATTTATCCGAAATCGGCAGTAAAGTAGTCAACAATAAAAGTTTTTCTTCGAGCGTTTTTTATTATTAAATAAAGGGCTTTAAGGATATTTTCTCGAAAAACCCTTGAACACGTAAACTGAGAAATAAGTTAAAGTATTTTTAATCAAAATTTTATAAAGATTGGTAAAGGCGTTTTAGAGTTGGATTTTTTTTACTTGTTATGCGTTAATTTTGACGCGCAGTGTAGCTTTAGAAAAAACAAACTTTTTTGCACCAAAATTTGATTTTAATATTACTTTTTTCATCTGCAATTTAATAAAATCAAAAACGAATTGACACCCTGTATCTTGGATATTATTTCGGTCTCACTTTTATTTTATTTATTAAATATAACCATTCTTTACTCAATGATATAACACTGTATCATGGTTTAACAAAACAGTTTTTTAACTGGTACCGTCAAAACCTTAATAAAGATTTTATAAAAAACATAATTTTTATGATTTTGGAATTTTTTTAAATCTAGTAAATTTAAGTTTTAATATTTTTTTAAATTAAGAGAATATTTAAGATTCTAAAAATTCGCCACTTACCTTGTAGTTTTCTACCCGTCAAAATCCTTCTGTTTATACATAATAATATGAAATAAATAAAACACTTTATTAACAAATATATATACAAAATATAATTTTGGTCCTATTTGGTAATCTAATCTAATTAAGGGCGAAAAATGTTGTAATTTATACATAAAATAACCCCTCTACAGCGAGATATACCGTTAGTGCGCCATTTTCCTACCACCCTGTACATTTTTGTGGTAGTTTTGATTATTATTATTATGAAATAATAATAATAATAATAATCTTATTTATTTAATTGTTTCGACCTCTAGATGAAACTTTATTTTATTATTATGTGGTTATAAAAACAACTGCTTTTTGAAAGGGTCACATGATTTATTTAATTTTTGACAATTGTTTCGTCACAGTGAGTTCTTCAGCTCATAAATGCTCGAGCGCTTATAAATAAATGCTCGAGCATTTACCAAAACTAAAAAGCGGGGTTATAAATTAACCAACAAATAACTATTCAGAACATGTGCACATCACAAAAGTGGTGCAGGTTTATCCAATTCCAAAATGGTACACTTATCTCTATTTTGTTGGAATTTTTATTTTTAATTTTTTTTTATAAAATTTATATTTCATCGTTTATGAATGCTCGAGAATTTATGAGCGCTTTGCAAAGCGCTCAAGCATCTGCCATCTATATCAAAAATTAAATAAATAACGGGAAACTTTAAAAAAACAGTTGTTTTTATATCTACATAATAATATTATTATAATTATTATTATTATTACTATTCGTAAATTATTAATATACAGTGTGTCCGAAAAGAGTGTAATGGTGTCATTCCGCCTGTTGGCGAAATCCGTTATTAGAATAATAGCATAACCATAATTATAAAGGTGGGAATTCCATATGCGACTCAATATTAATAGTTTCCACTTTTTTCTGTGATTTCACATCCCAAACGTCTTTCATTGCACTATATTCGGAATTATTGTGCGAGGGAGTGAGCTTTGGTATTGTTGGGGGTACAGGTCTTTTTCTAGTTCCCCAGGAATGTTTTTTTATTTGTCCACTATTTTCCTTTCCAATATCGCAGCTTGTCTTTATGTGGTTTAGTTTTCCATTCTTGAGCATCTGGCTGAGTGGGGGCGGCCTTGAGGTACCACAATCTGTTAAAAAAGAATCTGATTGAATATGTTTATGATATAATAGCACTTCTCTGATTATTGTTTTTATTTAAAAAACCCGACTAGTTTTGGCTATTACTAGCCATCTTCAGGGGTATCTACAATAGTAAAATACACTTCAGTACTTTTGAATGACATGGTTCCAAGTGCAGCTGCCCTGTTCAGCGAAAACCCCTTATCTGCATTATTTAATATTGTATATTATATAAGTCATGTTCCCATAACAGAACAGCTGCACTTAGAACCTTGTAATTCCAAGGTACAGTGGCCGACACGGAATTTTGAACGACATAACTTGGTTGTCAATGTATACAACTGTAAATAGCAAAGATACAATATTGAGCATTTTTGCTTTCGCTGTCAAAATTACAATACTATAGTGATAACCGAAAGTAAGGTTAGTTGTCCATAAAGAAAGTTTAGATTTTGATGTCAACGGGATGATAGTCGTTCAAAATTCCGTGTCGGCCACGGTACCAACTTATTAAAATCATGGTTAAAATTACTTACAAGTCAAATTTTTTTAAAGAATACACAGATTAACACATACATATAAAAATTAATTTAAAACGTTATATCTATGAGGTTTTTGTAAAATATTATAATTAACAAGTAAATGGATGGAAATTAGGGTTATGTCACAATCCACACAACAAGGTCTGTTCCACAATCCACACAACTGTTGTCAGTGTTGTAACAGTTACAATATTTTCAGTATCTAGCTACAGTTACAGTTACTTACCAACATTTGTAACTAGATACAGATACAGATACATATTTTATTGCAGTAACTAGTTACAGATACAGTTACCTTCAAAAAGTATCTAGATACTTTAAGATACATACAAATTATTTTTTGCTTTAAAAAATTTAAAATGGAAATAAAAGGGAATTTTAAAGTGACAACAAAAATATACATGTTTATTATTTTTTTATTTTTTTTATAATATTTTATTTAAAATAACTTATTTTTTATAATATTTTTTTTTAATAAATAATAGTCGCAGTTTAATTAAAAATGTATCTTTGTATCTTAACACACCTAGTTACTTAGAATTTGTAACTAGTTACAGTTATAGTTACTAGATTGGGATAAGTAACTAGTTACACAAACAGATACATAAAAAGTATCTAGATACTGTATCTAGTTATTTGTAACTGGATACGTTACAACACTGACTGTTGTGTGGATTGTGGTCTGTTCGATCTTTATTCGCGCATGTTAAAAATCACGAATTTAGGCAACCCAGTATACATTCATTCTTTAGTCGCCATTTTCATTGTTTGCAATTTTTGTTTTTATACTAAGGTGACCAACTCTTCTGAAAGAAAAACCAGAACTTTTATAAAAAATCTGTATTTATTATAAAATGTTTACATGTGTTTCTATTATAATGCTATAGCATAATATTATTACAAATTAAGCTTTTTTAAAACTATATTTTTCTTGGGAGTAAATTTGTTTTATTAGTACTTCATTTTTTAAGCATGTTTGATCGAAATTAGTTTTAACAATTAATAATGATTTTAGCGAGATTTTAGTGTTTCAATATGCAATTGTAATTTGTCTTTTGTCCAAAAGTTGTTCACATTGGAAAAAACTTTCTCTACAGGACTATTTGTTCAAGATAAACACAACAATATGGGTAATTCTTTTGCATTTCTGCATTAAAGATGCATTTTCGTCTATGCAGAGGCATATCATTTAGAGTATACAATATTTAAATACTAAAATAGTTCCGAACTATTAGTTCGTTTGGGGAGAGCCAAATGAGATGTATTTAGTGGGAGTAGGGCGAGCAGGGTTGCACGATTGGGCGAAAAATCTGGCAAATTGGAAAATATAATTTTATGTTTATGGCTTAATTAGTATTGTAGGTATATGTAGGTATGAAAACAGAAAAAAAACAGAAAAGCTTTTAAAAAACAGAACTTTTACTTTACTTAATTTACAACCAGAACAAGGTTCTCAAAAACAGTATAGTTCTGGTTAAATCAGAACGGTTGGTCACCTTATTTTATACAGATTTGTAATAGTTGGTTTTGCTTTTTATTATTGTGTCAAAATTTTGCTAAACATACTTTCATAATTGTTTGCATAGATTTTAATAATTTTAATTAATAATTTTCAAAACAATTAATTGTAAAATAATATGTCTAAAAATTTATTTTTATTAAGAACCAGATACAGCTATTTTTACTTCCTAAAAATACATTAATGATGTCAATAATTAATTTCTGAAATTTATTGATTAAAATACTCTTGTCAAATTTCAGTTTACTTTAAAACTAAATATAACTATTTTTTTTCCTAAATAATAATTTACAAAAAGATTTATCCTTTTGTAAACTCTTATAATGTTTAAAAACATTTGCAGTTTCTTTAAATCTTAAAAAAACTTTGTTTACATCTTCCATGCGTGCCTGCTTAAGGGTTAACAGAATTACTATTTTGGAAAATTTAAATTAACGGCGGCAAATAAATCAAATATGGCGGTAGTTGGATGTGCGCATAACATTACCGATTTTCGTTCGTATTTTAAGGAGATCGAACAGACCTTCTTGTGTGGATTGTGGGTTATGTTATGTCTTTATGTATACTGGTTGTTTCTGCTTCTATAATACATATTATGTACTGGTTGTTTCAAATATTTAAATATTGGTGTACAGGGTGTTATGTAATTAATGTAATATATTAAAATGGGTAGTTCCTTAGGGTCCATAAAGAAGCACCTGAAACTTTTTTCCTAAATTCCAAAGACTAAAAATAATTTATAATAACCTTTATCCAACCAAAAAGTACGCCACTGATCGACCAGGAACTTTAGGCTAATCTGGTTGCCTAATTTAATTTATTATGTTATGGTTGGTTACAACCAGCGCGCTGCAGCGTTTCCAGATTCTGTCAAAAAAGTTGCGAAATTTTGTTTAGCTTAATTTAAAAAGTGACAAAATCAACAATGAAAATTGTTAATTTGGCGTTTTTATTAATTGTTTATTATGTCATTTTTGTTATGAAGGTAAATTCAAACAAAATCTGGCAACTTTTATGACACAATCGAGGGGTCAACCACCCTAAGGGAAAACGTCCAGGGATTCCCATGTATTCTCATTATATTTTATTGTATTCCTATGTATTTCCATTGTATTCCTATGGTATTCCCCCTCTAAAATGTCCAGGGATTCCCAGGTGTGGGTGACCCCTCGGACACAATCTAGTGCATTTCTTTCAAATTTTAGGTTATGTGCTCAAATTATAAATATCTTAACTAAGGGAAGTGCTTTTGGATTTATTTACACAATTGAATTGAATGTTTAACCTGTGAACTTGTCCTAATTTCATCTGAGTAAACAGAAAGAAAAAAACAATGAAAAAATTAATTTTGTGGTTATGGAGTTTTAAAATAGCTGGCCATACACAGACGTTATTGCGCGCGGTTTATCGTGTTATCTGCAAAAACATATGGAAAATCATGTACGTGAGTGAGTATCGCCGCGCGCAATGATAGAACGGGAAGGGATTTCAGACGTGCTTTCCTCTGGAGTGAGGAGTGTCCACACAACACATTCCGCGTCACGGTTTACCTTTGCTTGGCAAAATTTCACGTTGAAAATTTGTACATGAGTACATGCAGTTTCAAACAACTCGATAAATGACACTTTTTGCCCACTCACATACGATTTTTCCTTTGAAACTGATATACCACGGGCAATCACTTGCTAAATCATTTGAATACTTTATCAAGTGTATGGAACATGACGCTTTTTTTGCCATGCCGTTCTTTCGTGCATACTAACCGCTACATCCCAACACGCCACGATAAACCGCGCAAAATAACGCCTGTGTATGGCCAGCTAATAGGTACTAAATTTTCTAATCATTTCTTAAGCTATAGCTTATAATAGCTGGATGAGTTAATAAATACAGAAGGGTATTAGAGCTTTAAGGGCATAAAACTTTTGTATTTATTGAGTTTTTTTATTTTTTGCAAGACAAATTTTTAGTAACAATTTTTTACAACTGGCAACGTGCAGCTACTTTGTTGGTAACCAGTAAGTATAAAAAATTTCTAATGCATATTTTTTATTTATCATTGGGAAAATATTTTTTTAAATATTTTTCCATTACACCTTAAGTCAAAAGGTATTCAGTATTTTAATATATAACATTAGTTAAATATACACCAATTTTATACCAAAGAACATAATATGATATTATCAGGGTGACTTGTCCTTAATTGTTTTGTTGACAGAACAGTTTTTGTTATTAGGTTAGGTTTTCTTACATTTTTTCTACGGTTTTCTTGGATTATTTGGTTTTAAAATTTAATTCCAAATATGTTTTAAATCATGTTTATGTAAGTATGAATCATAGACTGGGCCAAAAAAATGGACTATTTTTTTTTTTGAAAAATATATCGAGAATGTCGTTCAGAATGACAAATGAAAAATTTCGTGAAAATTTGAGCCCTTAATATTAATTTTAAGAGGTCTATCATCGCTATTTTTGATTTTTAGTCATAATTTGATGTTTTACGTTAGAACTGTCAAAACATTAAAGTGATAAAAATTCCTTTTCACTTATTTTTATATAAAATTAAATTCTCTACAAAAAAGGTCTGATTGAAAATTTTCGTCAGACGAGCCGTTTCCGAGTAATTGAGCCTAATAAATCGATGTGTTTCTTCGATTTGCCCTTTTTACTTTGAAATTTTGTAACTAATGAATCAATGAATATTTTAAAAAGCTCACGTCGGATTCTTAAAGGAAATTTAGTGTTCTACAAAAAAGGTCTCTTAACATATTTGCCTAAATTTAATTCTACAAAAGTTATTCACGAAGAAAAAATTGAAATTTTAAGTTTTTCTTCGATTTTAATCGTGAATAACTTTTGAAGAATTAAATTTAGGCAAAAATGTTAAGAGACCTTTTTTGTAGAACATTAAATTTCCTTTAAGAATCCGACGTGAGCTTTTTTAATATTCATTGATTCATTAGTTACAAAATTTAGTAAAGTAAAAAGGGCAAATCGAAAAAACACATCGATTTATTGAGCTCAATTACTCGGAAACGGCTCGTCTGACGAAAATTTTCTATCAGACCTTTTTTGTAGAGAATTTAATTTTATATAAAAATAAGTGAAAAGAAATTTTTTTCACTTTAATGTTTTGACAGTTCTAACGCAAAACATCAAATTATGACTAAAAATCAAAAATAGCGATGATAGACCTCTTAAAATTAATATTAAGGGCTCAAATTTTCACGAAATTTTTTATTTGTCATTCTGAATGACATTTTCGATATATTTTTCAAAAAAAAAAAAAAGTCATTTTTTTGGCCCAGTCTAATGAATCATATGGTGTTTATATAAACTTTATAACATACATAATCAATAAAATCTTAACAATATAAAACCCCCTAAATAAATTATATCTTCTTTTATTAGTGATATATCTAGTTTCCTAAATTTGTGTCTTAAAGAATGTGAAAATAAAGCTTATAATTCACCAATGAAAGTGAATTGCTATTTCAATGTGATTTTGCCACAGAAATAGAAGGTTCTATTTCTGTGGATTTTGCTTATTCTATAAATTCAGGGTTTCCCCATAGTTGCGAAATTAGGCAACTGTTGCTATTTTTAATTAACAGTTATTAAATCAATGTCAGCAAAACTTTGCTCAGCACTAACTTTAATGTTTATAGGTAATTGACTTACCATCAAGGTTATTTAATAAAGCAGAATAACTCTTTATATTTTTAATGGGTCCACTTGATGTAATAACATCCCTAAAAATGCAAAAAAATTAAATTTAAAAAACAACCAATTTTACGATATTTACCCATTATTTAAGGTTTTTCTTGGGCTTGATTCCACTGAACTAATTGAACAAGATGTGGAACAATATGGGGAGGAAGATCGACTTGTTTTAGCTGAACTAGGGCGTAATCTTAAAGTATCATCGACACTTGTTGATGAAGGTGATTCAATTTCTAATCTTGCCACCTCATTGCGATGTATCTCTTCGATTAAACTGTTTGAGTAACCAATACCGGACGTTTCCCTTATTTTTCGTCTTATTTCTTCATCTTCCTGATAATCGTAATCATTGTTTATGTGGTCATCCCCAGGTTTTATAATAAAATGCGGTTTGCCTCTACCACGGCCTGATATCACAATATTGTCATCAATAACTGTGTCAAAAATGCTTCCATTATTGTTTTTTGACATTTTTGCCTTCCATGCTGATATTGTAGGCGGTGGAGGCGGCTCAAAACCTTTGAAATCTTGGTTTTCACTGATACCCCACAACTCATCTTCAAAATCGTCTGCCATGTTTAAAAAAACTGCAAAAAAAAAGTGGTGTGAAATAGTGTCAAACAATTTTTTTGGTGGGTATACCTGGTTCGCTTCACGTAAATTATAACTAATATTTTCCGAGCATACAAACAAACATTTCAGAGATAAAGAAGGTACATTTTATGCAAATAAGTTATTTGAAATAACAAGCACAAAAACTACTGACAGCTTTATAATGGTTACCAACAATAAAACAAGAAATCTCTAATCTCTGATATGCAAGGTTGCCAACAAATATATTCCAAGAACGCAGGGCCGGATTAAATTTAAAGTTTTTGTTTGCAGACGATTTTAAGTTGGGACTGTCTACAGTTCCTACCAGTAGGAACTTAAGTCTTCAAGACTAAAGTTCCTACTGGTCGGAACTGCAGCCACTGAGTCAAAAGTTACTACCAGTCGGAAATTCTGTTATGGACGCCAAAGTTACTACCACCTGTTTAGATTAGAAATGGCCTATTTGGGAAATAATGTTCAAATCTTTACTTGTTCTGCACAAAAAAACCATTTTATAAAAATCTTTGGAAAACTTATTTTATTACAATAATGTTTAATCATTAAGTAAAGTATTACTTAATGGTCTAATATTATATACAATTCGTTATAAATGAAAAATTGAATCAAACATATTTTTTCATTATTGTATAAAGAAGTTTTACTAATCTTATAAGAAAGAGTATTTCTATAATAACTATAGTTTTGGTATCTTTGCTAAAAGGCTTAAATTCAAAATATATATTTAACAACAAACATTTATTTAGTAAAAACAAAAATAAAATGTAACTTAAAATTAATGGTAAAACATAAAAAATATATTCTTTTTAACTATTTATAAATAAAATATTAAAGTATCTTGCGATTTAGGTAGGAAATCTAGAAATATATCTCTAGTTTTCTAAATATATTTATAAATATATATGTATATACATATATACAGGGTGTCTCACCAGCGATGGTACCTTAGACGTTTACGGAGAACGGCTGAGGATATCAATTTGAAATTTTTATAGCAATTATTGTACAATTTAATTTACCTTTTAAAATTATTTTGAATAAAATTCCTCTTCCGGTTTAACCGGAAGCGACATCAACTTTGTTATTTCCAATGGAACACCCTGTAAATTTTTTATTTTTAAATTCCTCATGAAATTCTTAATGAAATTGCTGTACCATTCCCTATACCTAAACTTAACAGTTTTCGAGTTAATAATTTTTAAAAATTTACAGGGTGTTCCATTGGAAATAACAAAGTTGATGTCGCTTCCGGTTAAACCGGAATAGGAATTTTATTTAAAATAATTTTAAAAGGTAGATTAAATTGTACAATAATTGCTATAAAATCTTCAAATTGATATCCTCAGCCGTTCTCCGTAAACCTCTAAGGTACCATCGCTGGTGAGACACCCTGTATATATATATATATATATATATATATATATATATATATATATATATATATACATGTGTTTCATAATATATGCGCAGGACTTCAGGATGTGATAGCTCATCCAAAAAGATGAAAAAAATCGCTATTAACTTACCCTCTAAAATGCACAATTTTCTAGGGTGTGTAAATTTTAGAAAAAAAATTGTTTTTTTCGACTATTTCCCTCGTCTTAATTTCCTCCAATCACAAACGCGCAATTTTGAATTACAAATGGTTTCTAGGTGAAAAAACTGTGTGACAGCACCTGTCAGCAGTTTTTTCGAGTTTACCCGCGGCAAAACTTGACAGCTGTTGTCATCAAAAATTGCAATTTATATTTTAATTGTTAACTGTTACTCGTGAAATAGTCTTGTCAAATACCATTCGGGCATCTAATTTATCCTGTGAAAAAAATCGAAAAAACACAATGCTAAGTAATATTTTTTAACAAAAAGCATTCGTGCAGGTGCAAAAATCCTCCTCTTCGACTCGGATTTTTGTTGCCACCAGCACTCATGCTTTTTGTTAAAATATTACTTAGCAACGTGTTTTTTCGATTCTTTTCGGAAAAATTAAATGCCCTTATGATATTACTTACGAATATCTCCGGAACCATTTATCGTACAAAAAACAGCTTTTGTAAGCATTTTCTACTCATAATAAGCTATGTTTTGTGCCAGAAAATTTTTATTTTTACTTATAATTGGTGGAGATTTTGAAGGGGCCCCTTCGCTACCGGTAGCGGGTGTTTTTTTCCTCCTTCTACGCCCCTGAAAAAAGTACGGTTTTGAGAGGCCCATTCCATCTGCCAATGTTTTCTACACAAAAAAGGTACTCTTTGTCATAAGCTCTAAAATTGACCGTTTTCAAGAAAAATCAACTTTTATGTTTAAAAACATGGTCAATTTAAAAAAAAAATTTTTTTTACTAATTAAACAAAATTTATTTTAACGTTAGAACAAGTAGCAAAACCAAACGATAATTGCAAAATTAAAAAAAAATAAAAAATAATTCAAAAGTTAAATAAAATGTTGGAAATGTTCACCGTTATCTTCAATGCACGCAAAGACAACTTTTGAATTATTTTTTATTTTGCAATTATCGTTTGGTTTTGTTACTTGTTCTAAGGTTACAGTATAGACAAAGAGCGGGAACCACAGAACACCAAGTTCCTACTGGTAGTAACTCTTGACCAGGTGGCTAAAGTTCCTACCAGTAGGAACTTTAGACTCGGCGACTAAAATTCCTACTGGTAGGAACTGTAGACAGTCCCTTTTAAGTTTTGTTTACAACCTATATAGTTCACAATTTTTGAGGGCGCCAGTTGCGACAAAAAAATCCAACCAAACAAATTACTCAACAAAAAAGGCCTGATAATGGAAAATAGGTACTAGGAATTGTAGAAAAATATGCCAATTGTAGTGTGCAGCTGAACTTACCCACAAGATTTGAGCCTTTAACGCAATATTTACCAATCGATTAACTAAATATTTATGTAGCACAACGTGACGAAACCGTGACGATTTGTTTCCAATTGGACACAATGGACACAAATCGTCACGGTTTCGTCACGTTGTGCTACCCAGCTGGGTATATCCTTGATTTTTTGCAATTTTATACACATCAATTGATGTGCTTAAGTGTGCCAAATCAAAATCAGATTTAAAATGGCTGACTAAATTGGTAAATTTCAGTTTATGCAGTGATATAATAACCTACTACATTACCTATTACATACCTACATTACCTATTACATACCTACTACCAAAGAACACCAAAGAAGCAAAAGTTCCTGGTTAAAAGTTGGCAACACAATAATCGCCCGAAAGTCTGAGATGCGCTTGACACAGGTCACAAGGCTACCAACTTACACAACATAATGTAACGTACAAGCTTCATGTCTATTATGTTTTAGATAAAAATGCATAGATGGCGCTGATTATTTTCTTTCTTTAGGCGGGAATTTTAAATGTAATGTACAGGTAAAATGCTTTTAATATAAGAATAAATAAAACTAGAAAGTTTTTATAAATAAAATTTAATAAGTAAACTAATATTAAGCAGTATAAGATAAATTTTACAATATTAAACAATATAAAATTATTATTAAACAATATAAAACTAGTATTAAACGATATATAACAAATTTGAAAAAATATAAAATTAATATAAAACAGATTTTACAATAAACCACTAATATAAGTAGTATAAGATACATTTTACAATATTAAACAATATTCAACTAGTATTACACAATATAAACAGATTTTACAATGTTAAACAATATAAAACTAATATTAAACAAATTTTACAATATTAAGCCTTATAAGATTTTTGAAATAACTAATGAAATGAAATGAAATAGCTAAAATTTTAAATTTTTTTAATATTAATTTATTTTGTTTAGAGAAAAACATTTTTTATAGAAAAATACAATTAAATCTGTTTAAAACTGGTTTGTTAAATTATAATTTTATTTTCTTACCTATTGGTTACATGGGTAACTATTTAAACATTAAAAAAAGTATGTACCTAAACGAAAGCTGTTAGCAACAGACTGTTGGCGAATTCCACATTACTGTTGCCAACAGTAATGTGGAATTCGCCAAATATACGTTTAATCATGAAACGTGCCTAATGGTTGTTGAGTCTAGAAGTACAAAGAGGAGCAGTGACGGAATTGGGGAACGAGGTCGAGAAAACGGGACATTCTTGGTTGCGATACAGAACGCTACGCACATTTAATTTTGTAAGCCTGATTGGCATTTTAATTTTGTAATAAAATTGTGGTTTAAAAGAGTTTAGTTTTAATTAATATTGGTTACATAGGTAAGTATTTAAACTGTTTAAAACTGGTTACAACTGTTTTGTTAAATTATAATTTTATTTTCTTACCTATTGGTTACATGGGTAACTATTTAAACATTAAAAAAAGTATGTACCTAAACGAAAGCAAAATACAAAATATTTGCCCAAAGCTATATCTATTTTAAATATCATGATTATGATAACCAAGTTGTTTTATATGTATTTCGGGGATTTACCGAAATGGGAGGCTCCCTCGAGGGAATTCACTGGTGGTTTTTTCATGAAATTAATTTGTAAATTTGTAATTTGTAAATAATATCAAGTATACTTTAAATACTAATTTAATACTGTATATATTATAAAGTATTGTAATGGAAAGGACCCGGTCTACGTTGTGTTTAATTAATTTACCCTTTAATACCTGCGGAAACCAATATTTCGTTTTATACCCCCTTTTTAACAGTAAACTGCCAAGGTCGTTGACCTGGCGCCTGGGTCGGTGTTTAAGCCGAAGGATTACAAGAAGCGTGCCGGCAGTCATAAAATCAAGTGACATTTACCCTGCTTTACGTACCATAATCAGGCCCGTACGGGCCTGATTATGGTACAACCTTTTTTTATTGTAAAATCAAATCGGTGTACGAGTGCACTTCGTTTATCGATTTACAGTGGGCGTGGGCCTCTTTTATTGTTTATATTGTTGACGATCGTTACGATCGAGAGTTGCCTCTGTTTATTTATTTTTTGATTTTATTTTGTTGTTGAAGTAGTTATGTGTTTATTAGTACAGTGGCCGACACGGAATTTTGAACGACATAACTTGGTTGTCAATGTATACATCTGTAAATAGCAAAGATATAATATTGAGCATTTTTGCTTTCGCTGTCAAAATTACAATACTAGTGATAACCGAAAGTAAGGTAAGTTGTCCATAAAGAAAGTTTTGATTTTGATGTCAACGGGATGGTAGTCGTTCAAAATTCCGTGTCG